ATAATCTATTTCTTTCATTTGTATATTATTGATACAAAAACAAAACATATGATAAGCAAAAAAACCACATATACGTAATGATAAGCGATCTGTTAATAAAAGATCTAATAGTATTATTGGATTCTTTCGTATAGAATAAAGATTGTAAATATTTTTGTCATAGGAAACTTAGAAAAAAACTTTCTCTTTCTCACAGTCAAGTGTATTTCTACTTTAGATGACATGTAATAATTATTTTTCTTTTTAACTAAACAAATAAATATTCATGTGTCATACATATAACTTTTTAATTACAAAAAAAATATAATAATGATAAATGTATAGGAACAAAAAAAAATATTTTATTTCATCTATATGATACTTATAGATCTTTGACGTAGAATTATCATTTGATCGAATGTTTTTAGTAACAAATCGCTTTTATAGAAAGAAAAACACTTGTAACATAAGAGTACTTAAACATAAATTTACAAGGACAAAAGTTTTGATGAATTATTTGTTATTATTAGAATATCCGGGCAATTTATTATAATAAATATTGATCAATAGGTCATTAAGTCAATTGGTACGATAAAGTACATATATTTGTAATTTTGATTATTCCGGAAAATCAGTCAGAAATTCATGATGGAAGGTTTAATCAATAATCTTTTCTCATAAACTTATTTGAAATAATTATTCGTGCAAATAAAACTTTCAAATAGCGTTTTTATTCTTTTAGCTTGGTTGCAATTGAAACAGACCGAATATTAGTATTATATGCGCCTCATGGAATTTAGTCTGATTGGACTAATTTGGTTGACTTTATCGAGGGTTACCAGTCAATTTGTTATTTAATCTCTTGCATGACATAGTTTATTTTTATTGAATATGTATGTTCGATATTGTTTCGAATACCATCAAACATTCTTAAGATAATTTCAACTATGTAGTTGATAATATATTATAAGACAATATACATTCTTTACTGATTGAAATGATACGAGATTATATTTAATAATTAGTTCGTTATTATCTATATCTAGATTCTATTCTTTGTTTTTGTTTTGGTTTGATATCTTCTAAGTATAATATTGCGTTTGTTTTTGATGTTTATAATAAACAGATGTGATTGTTATAGTCTGTTTTCAATCATCATTTGTGCAGACATATGCTTCTTTTGTTTCTTATTATTATTTATACTATCAATTTAAGTTCTATAACAGATCTAAGAATTAGCTATTGACAATGTCAGAATTAAATATGCTATACTCAATGTTTATTGCTTGAAATAAGTAAACAGTATTCTGATATTATTGCATGAAAATTTAGTCTTAATTTTTAAAGGTTAAGAAGTGCTTGAAAAGGTACTGGAATCTTCCATATAATAGGCATGTAAAGTAATGGCATATTTTTCTTGATTATTTCGAGAAATATTTCGATAAAATTGAAGCAGAAAAATGTATGTCTTATCTAATATACATGATTTCATTACAAATATTTCGATATGAATTTGAAAAATATTACGATGTAATCTTTGCTTAGATTTTACGAAATAAACAAGAACTAGAAAGAATACTTGGTTTTAAATTTTTCGATAGTTATTATTTGAACGAAACCTATAAAGATTTGCTGTTTAATAATCAGCCATTTCTTTTAATATTAAATAAACATTTTTGAAATTAAAAATTCTCTTACAAGCTTTGACTTAAGAATACAAATATTAATCAAACAAATTAAGTAATAAATTCAATCAGTCCGTAATAGAACGGTTAGTATATTATTTTGTAAAGTAATGTTTAGCATCGATTGAAGATAGTCATGAGAAGTCTTGTTAAGTTTACTAATGTAATCCCATAAAAGATTTTACTATGAACGGTCATAGTCACGATTTTAGGTTTCAAAACGATTACTTTCAAAAAAAAAAGAAACCAACCCTAGATAACATTTATCATGTGACACTCATCAAGAAATGTCAACGAAACTAGAAAAAAAAGTACTTTCAGAAGTCTGTCAAATCGAGTAATAACCATTATATTAATTTATTAAAAGCTCGCGCGAACAGTCAAGCAGTTGAATGGAATTTATTTGAATAGTCCTTGTGATATCCGAAAACTGTCACTCAAAAAAAAAAAGTATAATTCGGCTGAAATATTAAATTCTAAAAAAAACCCAATCAGTTGCCATTGACATGTCACAAAATGTCTATTTTCATTTGAAATTGAATATCTTGATAATCATTCAATTTAATCCAAATCAGGATATATTTTTCATCGACTTAAAAACGAACTAATTCTTTGAATGATGATATATTTGTGAGACTTATCTAGGGTTTAATTTCATTAATCATAAATATTAATAATATGACAATTGTTTTCATGTTAACTGTTTTGCAGACGTAGTATTATTAGAATTAATTTATTATTATTCAGCTTCATTGCAGGTTCTTTTGTCTAAGAAGATCTTCTATTTAATAAATATTTAATCATTGATTATTAATTCATCGCAAAAATATGATACTTACTTTCATTATATTTTGAATAATTGATAAGTATTATAGATTCAATTTGTATTCGAATTTCAATGAGTGAAAAAAAACTTTTTTTTCTTTCTGCTAATAATATTAAAAATTTTTTTAATTTAAAAGTTAAAGCAATAAGAAATTATTATATCACGTAGTGATTACACTGTACAATTTATAAAAAAATTAGAAGTCTTTATTTTTGTCTTTGTATAAATAAATCGTTTGATGAATTGTGTGTATATACAATGATATTGATGTTGTGTATTGGAATAGCGAAAAAATTATTTATGAAAAAAAGAACGTAAACGTGTTAATTTATTGTTACATGTTGTAAAATGTTTTACATTTGATTTCGTATTCACCAATTCAGGATTAGTATCATTTGATGTTCTTAATGATGATGAATAACTAAATAAAATAGAATAAAAAATATTATTATCAAAAAATCGATCGACTTACTCGTGTTTAATAATTGATATTGATTGATTATCATTTTCATTATCGATTGTTGTTTCTTCTTTAACAATACGATGTTTTCTTAAATTATTTAATGATGAAATATGTGGATTAACTATAGATGATAAACTATTTGCTGATTGTACTTTAGCTGATGAAGATCGTTTAAAAAATTTTATTTTCGATATTTTTCTTTTTGGTAATTGATTTGATGAAGAAACATGTTTTGGTACATAATATTCTGATGAAGGTATTTTTGTTGTTGAATTAAATATATGATCACGAAGTGATCTTGAATACATCCAGGAATTTTCACTATCAGATTTTTGTTGTATTATTGTTGGTAGATTATGATCATGTTGAGAAGTTTTTCTATCAATATAAATAGGTACAAATATATAACGATAATCAATATAACGCTCTTCAAAACGTCTTTTTAAATCTTCTGTATAAATCCATGAATTTGATGATGATGGCATTTTTTCACATGAGTTTCTTGATGGAGATTTTCTTCTTGCTATACTTGTTCGTGCAGATGAGACTGTTCTAGTATGTGTTTTGTTAGCGGTTTCAAGAGCTAAGAGACCATAGTAGAGAACCATTATAAAACAATAGAATAGTGAATAAATTCAGATGTCTCTATGACTATCTCAAGAGTGTTTGATGATAAGAAGATATGTTTGTAGAGATGATGAACACGCTAATTTAAATAAATTAATAAATCGAGTTTCTAGAATATAAAAATATAATATAATATAATGTCATATTGTATCTTATCATATTATTGAAAAGATTGTCTTCTCAACACAGTTTGATGTTTATAGTAACGATAATGGTTGCAAGTATCTCTTAGTAACCACCATAACAGAATACTAATGACAAATTATTTGATAAAAAGAGGAAGAAAAAAAATGAGCTAGATTTTTTCCGCTTACTTAATGCCTAGATAAAGAGCAAACAAGGTAAAGCTAACTAATTACTAACAAAATAGAATCACTATTAGCAATAACCTAATGTTTTATGATAGTTAACAAACACAGATATGATCAGTAATCATTCATATTCAACAAATGCACTGCTTATATAAAAATAACTGTTAAATAAACCTAATCTTTCTCTTCTCTTTAGAGTATTTTCAGGTAGAAAATCTTTTCATTTTCAAGCAATAAGATATGCGTGTGATGAAAGCTTAACGTATTACATATATATAAGAAGTAATAAGAAACTTTTCTGTGTGTACTTAGATTGAATATCTACATCGATTATAAATACTAGTTAGTTTATATTTGAGTATATCTTAGTATAAATGAATGCCTTATTAGTTGACATGCAATAGAATATGTTTCGATAAAAATAGCAGAAAAACAGGTCATGATTTGTACTACTAAGAAATACAATACAAATAAATATGTCTATTATTTAGTTACAAAAAGAAAAAAACAAACATATATGAATCGTTTAAAGAAACTTCTATAATCAATTTTTCGTTCAAAAAAAAAGAATAATAATATTATGAGAAAAAGAAAATCTAATAATTCAATATTGTTAGATAATTCGATACATAAAAAAAAAGAAAACAAGCTATCTTAACATAGACGATGTTTTTATTTTTTCTTCAAATGTTTTTATGAAAACAGAACTTATTTTTATTAAGATATTTTCTCTTTCCAAGCAGAAATAAATCTTTTCAATAGCGTTAATAATATGTTCATTTCCTTTGCTATTTTAGACGAACACACACAAAAATTTCATGTTAATTCCTATTATTGCTTCATGCACATTTTTTTCTTCTTCTTCTAAAGATAAATAACTGTTTGATAAGGTATACTAAAACATTCTTTTCTTTTTTTTTGCACTTCATAAAACATATTGAAATCAAATATTGCAATATGTGAGAATATGCTTTACATGTTTCCTTTACGGATGTTATTTTTTCGAGGGTTTTGTCTGACTTTGGACTAACGAAGAAAAAACAATTTTCGAGTACATTCAACTGAAGAATAATAGACAGATCCTAGATCTGTCGAATGAAAGCCAGACAATATTCTATAACTAACGCATCAAAACAATGAACAATGATAAAAATAAGAACAAAAAAAAAGAAATGGTTTATAATTCTAAAAATATATGAGTTATTTCTAGACTGCTCTTCATATTCATCAGATGAAAGCTATCATATTTAATTGAAATACAGCGAAATATGATATCCCTTGTGTATAACGTTATGTACTCAATGATGTATTGTAATATTAATCTTTGACCGAAACAATTTAATAGAAAGATCGTATCTGTAGTTAAACTTTAGATTGTTATTGTATAATATAAATGTTGTGCACTGAATTCACCTGGCTGATATCCACTGATTATAATACAACTCGGCCAAGGCTAAGAGTAAAAATATATATATATATATCAAATTATATGACGAAAGCCTCTATTATTTCTTTTTCTTTTACCTATTGTTCGGCCCACTCTTCTGTTTATTAGTTATATTTGCGAACGTATTAGTTAGGACAACGTACAATATTTGATTATATTTATCAAGCGCCGTTTTCTATTACTAATTTTTTTTTATCATAATCATTGCCGTTTTTTAAAACTGAAAATATGAGCAATATTGTTGAAAATAAAACACGTGATCATCAATCTACTGATATAATTAAATCAAATATTAATTCAGCAAATAATTTTGATGTTCAACGTGTTTATGAAACATTTGTTGCTGCTTTACGTGAACCTGATAATCCTAAGTCACCGATTGGTACACAAGACTATATGAATGGCTATCGAGAATTATTAAAGTAATTGATGAAAAAAAATATATAGATTAAAGAATTTTTCTTCTTCTATATAATAGATTTGTTGATCAACTTGGTTATGTATTTAAATTTGTAAAAGATGATGTTATAGATAAATTAGGAATTTTACAAGCATTTGTTGATACAGATAGAAAAAAAGGAACATTACATTATGATACAATACAACATGCAATTGATTATGAAACTGAACAAAATATAATTAAAACAAATCCAGATAATAATTTTACTCGTACTTTATTACGACTTCATCGTGCATTAATTTTTATTGTTCAATTACTTCAAGGTTTAAATGATAGGCCATTATCAGAAAGTACTTCAACAATTGCTTCAACTTGTTATAAAGCAACATTATATAATCATCGTATGTATCATATTTCTTAAAGGATTCAATCTAGCAGATAAACTTTTTATTATACAGATATATTATAACTTTAAATTGAGTAGAAAAATAATGAGAAAAAAATTATATGACGGTAGATATTTATCAGTAGGCCTTCATGCTTATACAGCGATTCATAATGAGTATTATTTTCTCCAAATTACACTTATATTGTAAATATTTTTCAAAATATTGTCGTTAGCTTTTATACTATCAAGCACGTTTATCTTAATTAGATGTACTTTTTCTTTCGAAAGAAATAAGCAATACATTACGAAAATATAATGTTTTTTTTATCGAAAAAAAATATCAATTAAAAATGCATTTATAATATTCCTTTTATTTTTTATATCTTTAATCGCACTCTTTCACATTCCGTGAATAATACTGGACTTTGATAAGTTCGGTTATCTTTTATCCTATCTTTTGCTTTCAAAGGTAAAGTAAATAATGAGGGTAAAGTACAGTATATGAAACTAATTAATCTTAAATGACATATGAAAATAAAATCTTTTTTTTCTTTAGATAGTTTTTTGGTTCGTGGTACAGTCAAAGTTGGATTTCATATATTACCCTCTCGTAAAGAATTAGATGATGCTATATTTCATGGTCATAAAACTGAATTATTAGAGCAATATATGACATTCGTAAAAATAATTAAGCAAATATATGATACCGTTGAAGCATACTATGCTGAAAAAAACTATTTACAATTACCATAAAATCAACGACGATCGTGCATAGTTTATAAATATATATATATTTTTTTATGTGGTATAATCATTTATAATTCAACTGTAGTTATTTGTGTTCTGTTTCGATAAGAAAATACGTCTAATTATTAACATTGTTTTTTTTTTATACATTTTTTATTAGTATTTTTATGCATGATAAACAACAAATGAAGAGTATATGCATTTTACTCTTTCTCTCTTTCTGTGTGCGTGCGTGCTTATCTATTCATTCATCAAGGACGATGATATTTGAAAAATAAAACGAAATGATATCAAAGCAAATATTTTGTAATTATCTAGGGAATTCGATTAATATAAAAATGAAACTAATTTCCGTTATGTTGTTTTGGCCGAGAATATTCAATGAATACGATCTGTTAATTTCTATTTGTGTCGAAATATATTATCGGAATATAGACATATATGTGTATGTGCATTGAGATAAATCGTAACAGAATTGTAATTCTCACGAGAGAGTGCTATTATGTCTAGATGAATTGTAATTTTTTTTCTCTTCTTGTACAATAATTTTCTTATAGACAATTTAAGGAAATTAGAAATGTTTTATAATTATAATATAAACTATTTAAAAGTCAAATTTTCATGTTCAAAACTCGTAAAATTCGGAAGTTAATAATTATTAAATTTCATATGAAAAATATTATGCTATTATTCTTTATCTTTTCTTTTTTCTTCAATTTCCGCACTCAAAAAAGAAAGTCCTTTATGTCTTTTTTTTTGCTCTTGTCTTAATAACAAAGTTTTAAATTATAGAGAAAGGAGAGAGAAAAAGACCAAAAAAAAGGTAGTGTGTTATGTGTGCGTGTGAATTAAAAAGAAAAAAAAAAGAAAGCGACAGAGCGACAAAATTAAAACTTGCTAAAAAAATACCAAACCAAATTAAAATTGAGAAACATCAAGATTGAACAGCAAATGAAACGAGAGAAAAACAAGAAATATAGAGAAAAGCCAATTACAAGAAATACAAATACATTTGCACGCTTAATATAGAAACAGTTAATCTAGAATATAAGTTTTCTTTTATGGTTGTTAGAACAAAATGATAATAAGAAAAAGGAAACCGCACACTAACATACACGACAGGAAAAAAGGGAGAGCGTTAATAAGAGCAAATGACAACAACAAAATACTTGATGAATGTGAATGGCCACAAAAAAAGAAAAGAAAAGATATGAAATAAAAGATAATTTTGTATTTCAACAAAACAAGAAGCAAAAATGAAATATAGACACGAAAGAGCACAAAAGTTCATCACGTGAGTAATAATAAAAGAGAGAAATGAAATATTTCGATAAGAATAATCGAAATGAATTTGAAGAAGAAGAAAAAAACGCACACATGCACACATGATATATCGCCTAGTTATAGTTTTGCTGTTTATATACTAAGCTAGAGGAGAATGTTGAATGATAATATAGATAATGTTAATCATAATAATTATAATAATAATAGTAATAATATTAATACTTGCTCTTGCTTAAAGTGCGGAGGAACACCGACGACAAAAAAAAGGAGAAATTAAACAAAACACAAGACGAGACGACAATTAATTGTAAAAACAAATTTTAAAAGACATTTATGCCCGGGCTGGTTTATGCTCTTTGTTCGGTGGTTGGTGCTGTATTATATCCTGCTTTGGTGTTACCACCAGCAGCAGCACGTCGTTTACGTACAAGTAAAATGATGACACCAATAAGAAGAAGACCGATAATTGATGCAGCTATAATTATAATTGGTAACCAACTCATTCCTTTCTTTGGTGGTCCTGTTGCTCCTTCTGCATTAGGATCTGTTACACCTTCTGGATCACTTTCACCTGGTTGAGTATTTCCACCATCAGGTTGATTTCCAGTCTCACCGTCTTGTGGGTGTGATACTCCTCCTTCTTGTCCTTGTTCTGAACCATGACCACCCTGATGATCACCATCACGATGACCACCATGACCTTGTCCGCCTTGTACATCTAAGAAAAAAGATTAATATTTATATATTAAATGAAAATAGGGATGTACCAAGGTACCAAAAGCAGAAGGGAAGGGGTGTGTTGGGACGTAGTATAGATATAGCATATATTTGTCTATCTTTTGAGGTAAATTTCGAAAGTAGGGAAGCATAGTTTGAGGAAATTGTAGAAGCATAGAGACGGTATGCTCCTTACACCTTACAGCCCCTTCCCGGTCGGTACATCTGTGAATAAAAATCAACTTCAAGATTACCGAGCAAAATCATAAATCAAAATAGCAATCATAAAATCAATAATGAGCTCTTAATATCTCGTTTAGAAAAGGTCATAAAAGCTAAAAGTATGTATATCATTCTGTCAGCCTTATACCATTATCGTCTGAATAAGAAGGAGGAACAGTAGTAGCTATATCATCTGGATACTGATTCCAACTATCTTGTGGGATTGATTCCGTTATTGTTTCTTGTGCTTCATTATTTGGTTGATAATAATTTGGATCATCCGATGGATTTTCATATTGAGGTGAGGGATCAGCGTGAGGTTTATTAATTTGATTGTTATCTACATTTTTGTCATAATAGTTTGGATTATCCCATGGATAGTCATATTTAGGTGAGGAAACGGCATCAGGTTTCTCAGTTTGACTGTTGTCTACATTTGATTGATAATAGTTTGGGTCATCCAAAGGATTTTCATATATAGATGAGGGATCGGGATAAGGTTTCTCAGTTTGAATTTCTACATTTGGTGTGTAATAGTCTGGATCTAAATTTCCATTATTATGTGTATTAACAAAATCATATTTATTAGATGAAGCAGACCATGAAGGATACATGTCGCGAATTATCATACAAAATATCTGTTTATTTATTTTTTGCTTTCTAATTACTTATTATGTCTACAGCTTCTACAGCATAATAGAAGATCTCTGTTCTTGTCTATCTCTCTCTATGTATATCTAACTTACCTTGTGGATCATAAGGTGCATCTGGACCTTGGTTGTCACCGTCAGGTCGTCGTTGATCTTCATCTGGTTGTTCTGGTTGTGGTGGTGGAACAGCGTTTTGTAGTTTTTGTTGATCTTGTTGTGCTACTTGAAATGGCACAGAGTACACTCGTGGTTCACGTTGACGTAAAGCATCTGAACCATCGGAACGTCTAATTTGTGGTGGTGGATTAAATGTACTTGTTTCTGCATTATAATTATTTTTAATTGCAGCACATGCTGAATGTTCACAACCTTGTGGACTACATGGTAATCGACCAGCAGCTGTATCCAAATAAGCTGATACACATGTACATTCTCGACCATTTGGTACGGCTTAAAAAAAAAATTAGTTCGAAATTTTATTTTCAGTTATACAAAATCTAACCTTGAATAGCAACTTGTCCATTAGCTAGTTTTTCGATTAATTTACATTGTGTATTAGCATCTAATTTTTCAATACTTGCTTCAAATTCTTTAAGATTTGGTAAATTATTAAAGAGATCCAAATTTGGTTCTCCATCTTTGATTGTTAATTTTTCTAAGTGAGTTAAACCATCAAATGCATGTGGATCAATACCTTGATCACTTTGAACAGATAAAGTATGTATATTAGGAAATTGACGAAAAGCATTTGCTGGTATACGTGATGGACTATGAACACGTAATTCACCTAAATTACCATAATTTGGTGGATGTTCATTATTAAAATCAGTTATATAAAAAGCATTAATAGTTAATTCATGTGCTGGATAAACAGGAAAATTTTGTACTGATAATGCACTAGCTTGTTTAGCTAATTCTAAACGTGCAACATTTCCTGAGAATGGTTGTGAAACATCCGAACGTATATCACCACCACTTAAACGTAAAAATTTTATGTTGGCATCCTTGAATAATTCTTGAAATGTACCATGAAATGGATATAATGCATAAAGTTCTAATGATTCGGCATTTAAATTTTGAAATAGATTTGGATTATCTTGTTGTGCTACTTCAGGATTGTAAATTTCTAATGCCTAAAACAATATATTTTTTTTTTGCTTTTTTACTTTCTTATATGTTTTGTAATCTTACCAAATGTTTTCGTGCATTTGCTGGTAAACTATCAGGAAATACCCGATTAAAGATTGAAGGTGATGATAAATGAAGTGCAGTAAATTTTTCGAATTTAATACGAAATTCTAAATTATCTCCATCAGATTTATATAATTCTTTAACCGGTTCAAATGTTTGATCATTAACATGAATATCACGTGGAGCTTGTATAACCAATTCAACAGATTGATATTTCTGTTTTTCATGGTCTACAATATGTATGGGCGATGGTAATTCATGATCAATTGTACATGTTACACGATAAAAGTTACATTTACAATCGAAACCCGTAATAGCTTCACAATGTTGAGAATCAGCTTGTCGACGTTTAAGACTTTTTTTAATAATTGATGTTGATGATGATAATGATACGACTAATATTAGACATAATAACGCTGTGCGCAACATTTTTTTTTATATTTCTTTAGTGTTTAAGGCTATATTAATAAAGAGAAAAATATTAATCAAAAAATAAAATTATATGATAATTACATTACTTATAATGAAGAAATGTTGACTATAAGTGACAGAGCAAGTATACTATCTGCACAAATATATATATTTAAATTGAACTAGTAGAATAGACTATGAATGTCGATCTTTAGACCGACTGATAAACAAATCTATAAAAAAAAGAACAATAAAACAAAATGAATCATTTGGAAAACAATTACTAATAGTAGTAATAAAACATACTATTTTTGTTTAGGTGAATAATACATTGAGAAGAGAGAGAAAAAAAAAGAGAAAAGGTTATTGAAACTATCTGAAAATAAATGCATATTGTTTTAGCATCTACATGTGTGTCTACATATCTGATGATGTAATAATCTTGAGATTTATGCGTCTGGAAAATATAAGAATAAATTTATGTATATACGTGCCAGTGTTCTGTCTGCTTTCTCCCTCCCTGCCCTCCCTTCCTTGCTTGCTCTCTCTCGCGAGCGCTCTATCCATCTCTCTCTCTTTCTCTGTAGCTTTCGCTCTATATCGCTTTTTCTTCTCTAGCACTTGGAGAAGCATCAATGAATAATCAGTCCCTTCTTATATTGCTCATTTCTCGCCTCGTCGAGATTAGTCATATTTCGGCGTATTGATTACGACTCGATTATTATTCTTAGTCAACACGATATTGGCACAGTGAGAAGAAACATACGCTCAAGGCACGATATAAGGAGGAGTAACGTTTAAGAAACAAAACATACATCTAGTAAAGTACAGTGTTTGAAGAGATTGTCGATCAGGGTGATTAAATGATGAGAGAGAGGGGAAGACAACGAGAGAGAGAGACAGAGAGGGAGAGAGAGAGAGAACAAGAAAAGTAAGCAGCTAAAAAAGTGAAAATACAAGTGGTGTACTTGTCCTTCTAATAAATGTTCAAATAGTCCACCCTGCCCGTTGGTGATGATGATGAAGGTAGATGGAATAGGTAAAGAAAAGAAAATTAAAAATTGAAAGGCGAAGAGTAATAAAAATAGAGAGAGCAGAAGAGGAAAAAGAAGAAGAAGGAGCAGAAGGAGTAAAAGGAAAAAAATTTGTTCCTCTTCCCGATTCGTCGTTGTCGTCGGTTATTGTAAACAAAAACTTTGCTGTTAGTAGTAATGAGGAAAGTTGGTAGATATTCTCTTTCCCTTTCTTCAATTCTCTTCTCCTCTCTTTTTACTGTTAACACGAATATGTGAATATAGGGGAGAGGCGTATTTTACATAATAGATGCATAAAAGAGAATGAGAAAAAAAAGTAGGTGCTGCCGTCGTCGCTGCTACATAGCCGCCGACGCCGGGTCGATGCTCTCTCGCTCTCTCTCTCTCGTTGATGGTGGTTACGATCGTATTCGTAGTAATAGTGGTGGTTTACTGTGGTTACATATCAACATAAGCAAGCGCAGAAAAAAAAGAGAGAATCGTAGAAAGAGAACAGTTTTTTCTCTTTCTCTCTCTTTCTTCCCAACTTTTTATACTGTTCTCCGACGTTATATGTCAAAAAAAAACGAATACTAACGAAGCATTTTTGTCTATGACTGACTATTGCTTCTTCTCTTCCTACCACTGCTTACAATATTCTCGTCTGGACACCAGACAACCTTCTCATTTCAACAAGTGAAGAAAGAGAAAAGAAGATGCATACATACATACATACATACACATACACATATATATATAGACACTACAGGAAGAACGAAAGAAAATGTGCAAACCGCAATAAACAAACTAAGAAAAGAATATCAGTCTCTTGTGGCTACAATAAGACAGCAGTGATGAAAAGATAGATCATCTTCCTACATATAGCAACTATCTAACTGTTGAGTGATAGTTGATTTAAGCTGCTTGGCAGTCTATCTATATACCATTGACTAATTTTCACGTTTGTATATATATATCATTGTTAAGCGAAAGGTACAATAGAAAAACCTTGTAGTCTCGCCGTCTCGAGGCTAAATCATCTGGACAACGATTTTCCAATGTCGTTTTTCTTTGTATCAATACACATGTCGTTTTTTGTTACATTTTTCTTTTTTACATGAAACATGTCTTATTGTTTTCTACAACGAATGTGCATGACACCTGTCGTCAACATATATATATATATATATGTGTGTGTACATGTAATAATTCAGCTGCTGATGATGATGATTACCTTTGTTTGCTGCAATGTAATTGGAGCAAAAACTGGTTAGATAAAAAAAAAAGAAAAAAGAAAACCTTCAAAATGCGTGCTTGTTGTCTACGTGTATAAGTGTAAGTGTCCTCAAAGCTGTAATCATCAGAAAAAAAAGACAAAAAGAAGAGAATAATAATAAAATAGAAGAAAAATGTGCGTCAGCTGCAATCTCGTACTCTAAAACTTTTAGCCTTTATTTATCTGAAAAAAAAATGAGACGTGTCAAGATTTCGTATACATAAACATATTAACAATGTTAGCTTATCAGTTCTGTTGGAGAAAGAATAGAATCTATCTTTTATATTGTTTTATCATCAATGAGAAAGTCAGAACAAAAGGAATGATGAAAAATAAAAAGCATAAGAATAAAGAAAATGACCTTTGCTATGCGTGTATTATCAGACGCAATGGTACGATCAAATCTACTACTAATGATAGAGAGCGATGATCCATTCATTGCATATAAATATACAATGTCTTTGAGCGATTATTGCCCATTGCTAGTTTTTTTTTTAACAAACTCAGATGTCTCTTATCTTGATGCTTCAAAGCAAATAGACGTATTAGAGAAGACGATGGAGAAAAAGAACAAGTAGATTATGGAATGTTATTCTTTACAATCGTCATCTTTCCAACTACAACCACAGAAGAAGAAAAAAAACGAAAATGAATGAGACAAAGTTGCTAATATTAATTTTTCTTGGTTTATTTTTTTACATATTTCTTTTTTTTCATTCTTAATGATAAAAATGTAATACAAAAGAAAATGCCCAAAGCTCTTCTTATCATAACTTTTGTGTCTTTTTTTTCTCTTATTCTAGTTATATATTCACATACAGACTTATCTCAAGGGTATTGTGAGGGTATTCATAGTTCAATTACGAGGAAATACTTATATGATCTATACATACACATGTTGACTATTGCAATGAAAGACTTGACTATTCCTTTTTTTTTATGCTGATCTCATATAGTTATATAGAGACATGTCCATCAAGGGACTTGATGAACAGAATGTCTGCGATATATAATAGATAATGAGGTTACTAGAACATCTATATTATCTTTTATAATAATTATTCACCTCATCATTTGCTTATCTAATAACAATAGCATTTTCTTGTTCAATCGATCTCCGATGCATTCATTATATATAGATATACATATGTACATATCAACATTACATACTACTAGATAGAAATCAAATGATGAGAAGACTAAAGAAAGACAGAAGCAGAAAGAAAATTGGACGATTTGTTGTTGGATTCTTTTTTCTCCTGATGATTCCAACGGAAATCAAATTTTTCTTTTCTTTCAATGACAATTATCGAGGCGAAAAAACTTAATCATGATGCAATTAGTATTACAATGTATCCCTTCTAGTTTGTTTCAAGTATCTATTGATAAATAAGCACGTTCTAACTTCAGTGTTGTCATCATTTATATTATTATGATAACAAATAAACTTATCGGAACATCTTTTTCTATACTTCAATTTATAAAATACGCATCATTTATTTCATGTTTATGATGTGACAAAAGAAGGTATAAGAGACCTTCACCTTCTATAACGGTCGAAGGACAATGATGACAATTACTGATAGTGAACATCAAGTTGCAATGTGAAGAAAGAAACAGACTACGTAAAATATGACATCTATATATATAATCTAACGGATTAATACAATTAGCTTCTATTAGGCATAATTTTTTTTTTTGCTATTGAAATTTTTTTTGCGTCTGTAATGACGCAAACTGTGAAACGTTGTGCATTAAAAAAACACACTATAGTGCTTCTATGAACACATCAAGAACGGTAAAATGACTTACTCTTCACGATATTTGAGTGTAAATATACACAGAGACAGAGGAAGGACAAGCACAACGAGTGAGTATGCGCAGAATGAGCTTTAAGCGTGCCTCGACGACTGTCCTTGGAGAACAGCGAGAGAGAGAAAGCAAGCAAGGAAATCATTGCGCGAACATAGGACGATGGTGGTTGGCCGCTCTTTTTCCCTCAGTTTCTTCGTTATGTATGCGCGTACGTGTCATAATTTTTTTAAGACTAGCAATGGAGACGTAGACATACTCTAGGGAGAAACGGAGACGATGAGAGAGGACGAGAGAGAGGAGAAGAAGAAGACGAAGACGAAGAAGTATGGAGAACCTATTTCAACTAGTAACAATATTTAGCCAGTTATTATATATAAATAAATAAATAAATAAATAAAAGATCTTACCAAGGTTTTATTTTAAATTAAATGAAAGATAAGTTGTGTTCAAAAAAAAATGTAATATCGAATTGAAGATTTAATTATTCATCCTTTTCGTTCTTGCTCAATCTCTCTGTCACTTAAATCTTATCTTTGAAAAAAAAATGGAAATTTGACGCGATGGATAAATTTAAAAAAAACAAACTTCTTAAACGATAAGAGTAACTCTATCCATCCGTTACATATTTCTTCATACCGTCTTTTTATAGAAGACCTGTCGTTTTCTTTTTATTTTAAAAAAAAAAGCTTTCCCTTTTCCTTCCTTCAGTTTTTTTTTCTCTTTTTATTATTTAGGTATTTTTCTCTCGTTACTTTTTGTTCTTAGCGATTTATTCGTCACACACACCTGTCAAGTATATGCTTTACATGCAAGCAGTTGAAATTTGTTAGAAAGTCCAGTCAATTCTACAAAAAAAATACTCATAATATGTTTTACTATAAATTGCAAACATATTAATGATAATATATAACAAAAAAACTCATACAAGCACTTATTTAAAAGAAGAAAATAAGCGTACTACCCGAGGAAATAGAAGAGGCTAGTTCCGGAGAATGATTTGAATGGCATTGACTCTAGATGCTGCTTGCTTAGATCAAACTCGATGATGATGAAATAGTCTTTTTCTTTTTCTTCCTCTTTTCCGTTATTGTTATTTTCTTCTTCTTCTTCTTCGGTAAAAAGAAAAAGAATAGCAACTAGTCTCTTTTCCGGATAGATAGACGACTATATGTATGGATTAAATTTCGATGACATTGCTAGGAAAAAAAAGAGTTGAATCCTGATCTAAGCATGCATGAATATAATATAGGCAGAAAATAACTGTTATGATTTGCAAATCGAATTTTCTCTAAAAATCGATATTTTATTCTAATCAATAGAGAGAAAAAAAACAAAGCACAGAAGAGTTTTTCTTCTCATACGAAAAAAAAATCCATCTCGATGATTAATCATCTATATGAGATTTTCCATCGTTCATTGCATGTTTGATTGTCATATATGCAAACGGTCACTAATTAATCTTCAATAGAGATAATCGACACTGAGAATATAAGATGATAATAAATGTGATCAAAGTACCAAGTAACTCGATAATACGTAAAGAAAATTACCTACGAGTGTTTGAATATGTATTGAGAGACAAAGAAGCGAGAGAAAAAGAAAGAAAAAAAAAGAAATAGATGTTGTCATCATCATCATCATCATCATTTTTTTTATTTGTCGATAAAGCAACAGAGAAAGGAAGAGATTGATCTCTATTAAAAACAGAATCGATGTCTGGGTCAAGGACAATAGATATTGAAGGTTAATCATAAAGAAGTGTTAATTCAGATGATTTTTTATAGAAATTCTTTTACTTGTTATGTAATGTAACTTTATTTTTTTTATACATTCTTACCATCTATACCATACACATATATATGTTAGAAGTAATGTTTGTCTATAGTTCCCAAATGTATGAAAAAGAATGTTCAAAGACAAATAGCCGATAGTGAATAAAACTAGAATTAATGAAAAGGAATTAATTATCTAGAAATAACTACGACTAGATCGGTAAAATTCTTATTAATTGACATCCGCGAGGGTGACATTAGCAAATTTATTCTCATTTGATAAATAAGAGAATCGTATATAAATAAAGAGATTCCATTAAACAACTAACTCATGTGCAAGGCATCTGGTGATGTTCACGAGGTAGTCGATCAAATGTCATAATTTCTTTTTCATCTGTATATACTATTTACATTCACAAAAGGCAATCTCTTCCTCTCTGTGTGTGTGTGTGTGTAGAAAACGGCTAGTCATTATATTCTTACAACTCAATTAGAAGAAGTACGATGAGTAACCCCTAAATATCTATAAAGAAACATGACATAAATTGTGTTGTTTTCTCGATATTGTCAATGTTAAGATATCAATTACATATCCTGTCTTTTATATATATATATATATAATACTTTACCACTAAAAGAAGAGAACGTACGTGTTTAACAAAGAAAACGATTATATGAAGTAAATAAAACTTAATCAAGTAAGAGAAGAAGAAGAAGAAGAAGAAGAAAATTTTTTTCTTCATGACCACTAGTATCATCAGAGTGTTCGATAGTAAAATTGTTTTAAAACGAATATCTACAACAAGTAATATATTCTCATATTGCATCACATTCATGATTGAATCAATTTTGTTCTCAACGTATGTTATACTTGTCGATTGTAACAGATTTAGTAATCGATGTGTTAGAAAAAAGAACGATAGTAATGTGAACAAGGATCAATTAATCTTCTTTCTATAAGATGATGAGATATTACTTTCATCCTTAAGAAGTTTAGATCTTACTTGTATTAATAAGATAAAAAAAACTATAATTCTTTTCTTAGTTATATTCTTATGCGTCAAAAAACTCGATCCATCTTATTTTAATATGCGCACACCCACATTTAGAGGATAATATTAAGAAAAAAAAACATTAAAAGTTTATTTCAGGATTGACAACAAATATGATACGATTTAGAAGCAAAAGAAAAGAGGATCAAAATGTTTTTTCTCTTTATTATTACAATCCTATATTTTTTCTCTCTTGTGATTAATGCAGTTTGTTGAAGTGAATATTTGAACAGTAGGGTGGAGAGAACATCACCATATATGAATAAAAAATATTGTAAAGCTAATCAAGCAAACAGGACTATTTTGAATACGTTGTTGACGACGTGTCAATGTTTGACTATCGCGTATTCGTTCAGTGAGAAAGAAGAAAAACGCATCAAGTCTATGAACACAAAAGCAATTTAGAATGAAGTAATCAGAAAACAGTGAGATGATGCTTTTCATTGCTCATGTTGATGTTATTCCAAGGACAAGACCTTGACTAAAACATGATTAACTGACAAGTTGACAGAAAAAAAGAAAGAAGACAAACAACGTCTAGTGCTCAGACAGATCGGCAAATGAACGATCTGTTTTCGGAGACGAGGAGAAAAAGAAATCTTCCGATAACAAATTCTAAATCATTATCTATTCATAGAATGTCTCCTAGTTCGAGATTCTTTCTGTTATTTTTTGTCCTCTCTCAAAAAAATTAACATTCTCGACTGTATTCATTCATTCATTCATTATTTTGCTACAATCATTTACTGAACAACCTCTTCTGCATCTCGTTTTTGTTTATAACAAACCTGGTTTTTTATTGCTATGATCTATATATATAATGAAATATTCTTTCTACGATAACATGATGATAGATTAAAGAGAAAAAAAAATTGATGCTAAATATTCTTGTCAAGGATACTAATGTTCTATTATATCTCAAAAGATAATAATACTTGTGATGAATGATCGACATAGATCTTTTTTTGTCGAACAATTATCAGTTTGACTAGATTATGTAACTAACATATACATAACTCCACCTGTTTCTCTATTTGCCGAAGGTGGTACTAGTTATCGACCTTGTTTGCCCTCATATCTATATATATTACTAGAAAAAGTCATATTATGCTAACCTTCGATATGCAGTTCCTTGTTTAGTCGACACATAATTTAGCAATGACATTTTTTGCTTCCGTTCCATATTTATTCTAATGTCTTTTTAAAGAAACACGTAAACGATGGATTAGAAAGATGAGTACCATGTGTATAGAGATATTTTTCTATATCGAACATGTATTCTAATTAAAAACAGTGTCCTCACATCGGTCGACATTCATTATTTGAACAAGAAACATGGCCGCTGTGCCACTGAAAGTTCAACGTACATACAAATGCGTGTGCTCATACCCTTAGAATCGATTGGTCATGGGGCGGCAACTGCTGCTATTTATGGCCTACGGAGAAATATAGAAAGAATGATGTAATGGTTATCGAGATGCCACGCGTGCATCATTACATGACACATAGAGGGTCAAATGCGTGCACACACATATATATAAGCGTATACATTCATATTATTTCTTCGATTATAGTTGTATGCACATAAAGTCGCATCATCTTTTTTTAATTATTTTACTAGTGACTTATTTCTGCAAAAAAGAACACTCAAATCTGTAAGACACACTTCTTCTTTTTTTTTTCTTCTTCTTACCTCATCAATCATTTGTTGTTCTTATGCAAAAAGAACTAAATCCCAAATGATAACATCAATAACAAAAGATGGACATGAAAAGGAAAAAAATCAAGCAATGATAGAGAAGCAATAAAAAAAATTCTTTTCGTTCCCTATAGAAATCACATATAAATACAATTCTATTAGACACAAAAAAATACCGATTTATACATCGTATAATCGCTTCGTATTTATATCTATATTTATTCATTGTAATAACAAAAAAAAAAGAAAAGAAAAATGAGATTTAGATCCGATTTGCATGAGAAACAAAATGTATACGTATGCATTCGTATAAAACCTTTACAGACGATGACAATCGTACTAATAAAAAAATAAAGGTCATTTGTCATCATTGCAATCATCAGATATTCACATACATATACACACAGATGTGATTATGTAATATAACAAAGAAAAGACATTATACTACCAAAGTACAACAAAAACAACGAATAGAAAAAGAAACAATTCACTGTTTAAAGAACACTTATGTAAAATTTGAAAGAAGAAGAAGAAGGAGAAGAAAAAAAAAATACTATGAGTTAAGATCACGTTCATCAATCAATAATATTGGTTGACGTTGTTCGTTGAAAGAATTCGTTACTGATGATAAATTATCATCATCGTCAACTAATAGGTCGGCATAAGATTTGCCTTGAATAAAATGTTGTTGTTTCGCATTGACTATTGTTGTTGAATCAGTTGAAAAATATGGAAAACGAGAATCATCTAAATAATAAATAAATCATAATTATTAATCATTATATATACAAAACGAAAGAACATCATTTCTTTTCATACTTATTTGTAAATTTGTTTTTAAATAATTTATTAATACTAATCCGCATGTTGTTATTGAAAATCCAACAAAACATGCTATTATATCAACAAATGCTAATTTTTCCCATTCACGAAAAAGTATACCCGATGTTATTAATACACATGTTGTAAATAAAACATAATAAACAGTTGTAACAATAGGTGTAGAAAATAGATCTAATGCACGATTTAAATAAATCATTTGTACAAGAATACAACAAATAATCACTATTGCACATGAAAATGTTAATACTTTTGAATATGTATATTGATGATTATAGATTTCTTTTAAACCAATACCAAGACCTTTACATGCTGTTACAGTAAATGCACCCAAAAGAGAACATATTAAAATATATATATGAACATGTTTTGAACCTAATCGTGGACCATAATGAACAATTAAACAAGCAATAGAAAGACAAGTTAGTGTTGAGAACATAATAAATTCTAAAAAATATAATTGAATTAAATTATTTAAAAAAAAGAGAAATATTTTTATTCATACCTCGTGTTTTGATTTTATTAGCAAAATCAAGTAAAGAATTAACTTCACTTTCTTTTGGTGCATGAATAATAATAACAATTGAACCAGATATAGTAAGAAGACAACCAATTTTACTCAATATATTTAATTTTTCACCCAAAAATCGAACAGCCAATAAAGCACTAATATATAAATATAAATTGATTCTTTTATTATTAGAAAGATAACAAAATAGAATTTTTTTTACATACCTAACTAAAACTGAAAGTGCTCCGAGTGGTGTAACAACTGATGCTGGAGCAAATCCGTATGCAGCAAAATTACAGAATTCTCCTAATCCCATTATTGCCAATCCCACCCACCATTGAAATTCACGTAAATATCCAAAACCACCTGATCCTATATTAATAAAAAAAAATTTAAAAAAAAATTCTTCGATAATGTTAGTTAATGAAACCTGCTCGAACAGCTCCATTATATACAGCTAATTGAAGTAAACCTTTCTTTTTAAGAATAAAACTGGTACCAATAAATAAACTCGATGCAAGTGCTAATGATATTCCAATAGCAAATTGATTCGTATTTACAGCTTGTATTGGATTAATTATTGTAGTTAATGTTAAAATATTCGATATATCATTTAGATTTTCTATTATAAAATAGAATATTTTTTTATATCAGAAAAAGAATTTATTTACTTGTTTCGTTGATCATTTCTCGTTATATATTTTTGCATCTAAAATTAGTCAAAGAAATAAAAATTATATATATATATGAGAAAGAAAGGATATAATTCAGTATACCTTTTTTCTTTACTATTCGTCATACTGATAAAATCGAATAATACCGAACAGAAAAAGAAAAACTGATAAATCAAATTTCATATTCCAAACATGTCATAATTATTGATAAATAGACGATTATCTCAATATGGAGTATATAAAAAAATTACTAATAATTTAAATTATGAATTTTTTTTAATGTAATTTATATATTAAAGAATGTAATTACTGATAAATGGTAATCATACAATAATTTATTTATTAAGACTGTTTATGAAATTTCTCCGTTGAAAATCATCAACTTCAAAAATAGAAAGAAACTACAATTTAAACGTTTTATATTTTAATTTAAAGGTAATTCATATACACGTTATATTTTATATAATGAAATTTGATACAGGAATCTATATATATCTTTTTCTATTTAATATACATATCATTCAAAAAAGATAAAATGAGTGATTTGTAACAGCTTTTTTTTTTAATCTTATTTTCTTCAATATATAACAGTAATATACTTATTCATCTTAGTATACAAAAATGAGTCATCTTTTTTATTATCAATAAAAAAAAAGAATCAAAAACATAAACGAAAACAATTTATTATTGTAGTGTAATCAAAACCTATAGTTCGTAAAAACTTTTATAATACTTACTGATTATTGAATATCATTGTTTATATCATACCAAATACTATGGCTTGATGTATTGAGTATTTTCATGCTAATTCTTATAATTAACTATGTCTTACAAAAAAAAGAAGAATAATTTTTATAAAAATTAAATATATGATTAAAACAGTATGACTGTTATTAATAGATCATATTTCATCGATAAAATATGAGTGGTATATGATTATTCATTGAAAAAATGTAATATTTACATGCTACTCAAAAGAAGAATAGTTGAATATTCAATGTTTATGAGTAAATGTTTTACTCACGTTATCATTCGATGAAAAAATGAAGAATAGGAAATAGGAAATTGTTAAGTCAATAAAATAGTATACGTATAAATAAACCAGCTAATGGACAGATGTCACTCTATGATAGTTCAACATTAAATCACTTCGTATATAGTTTAAATATAAAACATAGAATATAACGTTTTATAATCAGAATTTACTGCATCATATATATTCGTTCCATTTCCTATCGATCCACAAGACAATGCAGTTATTTTAAAGAAAAAATAAGTTATACTATAGGAAAATAACTAGAAAAGTATCGAATTTAAATAAAAACTAGTTAATTTGCGAAGTTATCAAACTGATTTACATCATTGTTTAAAAATCATTTCAAATATATGAGAACATTCCAAGATTAGAACCGATTCGGAGAAAACCAGAAACTTATCAATTGGTACTTTTAGAAGGATCTTCATTTATCTCTCGTTTTCTGTCAGAGAAAAAATCTTTTATGAATTTTCCTGTCGGTATATCTATAAAAAGTTTATTCATTATAGAATAAATATTGATTGTAATCAGAAATGTACCAACATGAAATAATGTGTTTTCAAAAAAAACATAAAAACCAATAAATGTGTGAACATCAATCACTTTGCTCGATCAGTGCATATTACCTTATCGACAACATCATTTTTTATTTGTTCTATTTTATTTTGAGGGTGTGGATGAGGATGTACTTCTAGGTAAGGGTGAGTGACAAATTCATATCCACACCCACACCCACCCTCTCATTCAATTTAAATTACAGAAGCATTATTATATGATTCTACAGTTTTTAGATCATTTATTCATTAAATGTTTCTAGAAACAAGTGAGAATCAGTATTTGCGTGTCCTTTTGAGCCGAAAAATACATTTTTTCAACAATGTTTCTCTTGTTTATAATAAGAACTTGATTAATTCAAATGAAATATTTTTTTATAGTTAGAAACATGTGTCTCGTATTACAATAATAAAAAAAAGAAAAGGTTTATAACAACATTTCTGGACTTTTGTATCGAATGTAATGTTCAATTTGAAGAAAAAAACTAATGCCTATTCTTTTTCAGCAATTCGTGTTAAATGTTGTTCGACTTCACTCTCGGTTAATACTCTAAAAAATGTAGAAATAATTCAATTAATTCATGGATAAATTATAATAATAACAAACCGAAATTTAATATTGTCTTTTGTAACAACACCGATTTCGATTTCATTCGGTTTTAAATCAGTCGAAAGAACACTAGCTAATGTCGAAATAGCCAACTATAACAAAAGAAAATAATAATTATACTGAAGTTTAGAAAAAGTAAGAATTGTTCAACAATATTTACTTCAATAGCTTCATCAAATGTTAAATCAGATTTTTTCTTAATACGTTTTTCTAAGAAATTATTTGCTTCGGTTTGTTTTACACCAGCACTAGTTGCACGAAATCCACAAAAATATCCAGCTGGATCTGTTTTGTATAACATTGGACCTTTTTCTTCATCCATACCAAATAAAATCATACCTAAATATTTATATTCAAATGAATCTATTTGAAAAAAAAAGTTCATAATCAACTTACAACATCCAAGTGGTCTCATTTCAGCTTCTTGTGTATAAACTTGGGAAATATCAGCAACTCGACGGCACATAGCATCAACAGGAATATCAAATCCATATTTATATTTCCATGATGCTGCTTCATATCGAGCTCGTTGTACTTGCCAACGAGAATCAGCTAAATATATATATATGTAGTATATAAAATCAATAGTAAGAGAAGAATAAATAAAAGATCTTTACATACCTACCATACCGGTCATTAAACATCCAACAGTTGGTGTAATCGCATGTAAATGAGTAACAGATGATGGATCAAGTAATTTGTCCTGAAAATAAAACGTTGAAATTATATATTTTTAATCAATATTCAATAAGAGAGATATGCAGAATCTACAATTCAGTTTTTCTTCTTAATTAATAAGAATATCAATATGAAGAGTTCAACAAGATTTGCTCTACTAATAGAAAACATGTCTCAACAATATCAACCTACCTATTAGCAATGACTAAAATCATATTATTTCGTAGTCAGGAACTCGATTAGTCTAAATGCTTTTCTCGCCATATGTACTGTTATTCAGTATATCTGTTAAGTTTAACATGTGGATTTATTATTGAGGGAATTTTTGTGAATAAAATCTTCTATACTAACTGGAATTTTTTTTTGAGCAATTGCAATAACACAATCTGTGCCACGTACAGCTACTGTTGTCAAACCACCTTGATTAATAGCTTTAAATGCATACTCTATATTAAAATAAATAGATGATTAAACTATTTTTTTTGTAAAATTTTCTAAATAATACGAACCAACTTGATAGAGTCTACCTTCTGGTGAAAAGATAGTAATATCCCGATCGAAACCGGCTGAAGCTGTACGACTCATAGTGAGATAAAAAGGTGTATTTTTTTATCTAGAAAATACACAGATTGATATTTTTCTTTACGTTTGGTGGTATAGAAGTCGTTTGTTTCTTCTTCTTCTGGTTCAAATATTTAAAAAACCAATAAGAATATTGTCGCTTTTTTCATTTTAAAAATAAAGATGTCAGTTATAAAAATATGTAAAATTCTTTCATTGATATAGAAATATTTTTCAAATGATTTTCTATTAATTTTAAAAATTTTTTAAAGAAATAAAAAACTAAGCCACGAATCGATTGAGGTTTTATTGGTTAATAAAAATCGGTATGCGTGTTGGCTAAATTGCTTCGTTTTCGATCGCATCGCATCGCATCTGTTGTCTGTCACATACATTATCCATCGTCTTTCGATTTCAAGATGAACATAATTCGATTCTTTTCATTTTTAACCATCTTCGGTTTACTTTATTTTTCTACCACAGGTAATATAAAGATTATATTTAATATAAGACTTATCAGTTTCTTCTCTAGCTGTCTATGGTAAAGAAGATACAATCGATGCTGATGTGGATATTGGTGAAGAAGAAGAAACTGTTTTACGTCCAGATGAAACAATAATGCCATCAAGTGATAGCCTCGTAAGAAATCGAAATAAAAATAAGTAAATTTCATATTAATCTTTTCATATTATTTTAGGACGGAAAAGAAGATGAAGATCCAAATCGCATTCCATCTTCACCCGATTTCCGTACTATTTATGTTTTTTCTCAACCAGCTAACGCCAAGGGTATGTATATCAAGAATAGAAAAGAGAATGAACGCTGTTCTGATTTAATGGGCCACATTTTAATTATGGCCAAAAGAGTTTTTCATTTGGTTAAGTCTAACAAAGCCCTTGAATGAATAAAGAGATGAAAATATATATATTGATATGATCAATTATATTACGATCAAGATTAGCTAGAGTAATGATACTTATATTCAGGTTTTTTTTATTCGAGGTCAGTTGGATTAAATTCAAATTTTTTTCAATAAAGTTGGGTACTAGTTGTACATATGGGCTAACCAAAAACATCAAGATTTTCATGATTAAAGTGATTGCCCTACGAGGAGAGACCAATATAAAACTATTTCTTATCATTTCGCCCATATTTTACTGAATTTTCCTATGTTCTTCTAGAATTACTTGCTGGTAAATTAACTCGTTTACTTGTTGGTGCACGTAATAATGGCACAGAAAATTTTATTGTTGAATCAATCGATGGTTCATTACGTTATCCACAAGATTTTACTTATTATATACAAAATTTTACCGCATTACGACCAGAAAAAGTTGTTGAACCTGGTTTAGAATCGACATTTGAATATTTATTTATGCCAAGCGAAACTTTTAACGGACGACCAATGGGTTTAGTTGTTTTGGCTAACTACCGAACATTTGTATGAGAAAAAAAATCGAAACTAATCATATTTATTTTACAGTTTAATTATTATTTTAGGAAGGAAAACGATTCCAAAATGTTGTTTTTAATCAAACAATTAATTTCATTGATGCTGATGAAGGATTTGATGGAGAAACGTAAATAAAAGAAAATAGTTTTATTTTAATTAAAATATTTATTTTCTTAGATTCTTCCTTTACATCTTTCTCGGTGCAATCTTAGTTCTTTTGAGCTTTTTAGCTTATCAATATTTACTTTCAAATCGTGTTAAACGTGTTACTGGAAAATTAAGTTCACAAAATTTTGGTACTCAACAAGGTAAAGGTAATTATGATGTTGATTGGATTCCAAAACATCACCTTGTTCAAAGTAAGTTAAAAATTTATTTTCTTTTAATTAATTGACCAACTAAAAAAAAACTATAAATTTAGATCGTTCACCAAAAAAAAGTCCACGTAAATCTCGACCAAACGGTGTTAATGGCGTAAATGGTACTGGAGCCGCATCAAGCGAAAACGATGAATAAATATCTATTGCAATAAAGAAAAAGAACATTGTTTTGTTTTATTTTTGCGTGTTTTTTATTTCAATCAGAAGAAACAAGTAAAGAAAACTGTGTCATTATTATATCGTGTTTTTATTTTGAGAATATAGAATGATTAGTTGACGGTGGATTTGTTTTTTTTTCTTGTTATTGTTGTTTGTTTCTTTGTTTTCCATTATAGTCGTTGATTTTTCATTTCTTCCAAACATCTAATAAAAGAACAGAAGTCTATTTTATAACAGTAATAGACATAAAACAGTGAAGAACTTTTTGGTTGATTTATTAACCCGATAATCAGTTTATCTTAATTAAGTATATCGAATATCATTCAAATGTATCATTGCATATAAAAATCGAAAACGTGACCATTATACGAATTCTATTTATTTAAATTAGAGCGATTGTTATTCGCAGTTAAATGGTTTTGTATGTTTTTCTATCGTTCGTTTTTTTAAAATTATCGATCGATAGACAAACAATTACATCAATAGAGTTACATATACAAACATAAGAAGGTGTATAAATGTTTCTTTTTTGATCAGTTTCAAAATGAAAATCAAACATTTTTTTTTCTTTTCAACTTGATAGTAACGATTTCATTTCGTCTCCTGCAAGGTTATTTAAGAATAACTATGATTCCTGTATTACGTTCGATCGATAATCTTCTCAATCGATTTGATGAATTATCTAAATCACATACAAATTTTCTAACTGATTTTGATACAAATTTTCCTAATATAAAAAATCCTTTACGTGATGTTACTCGTTCCGAAGAAGAACAACAAAAAACTGCTGCAAATATTTTGTTAGTTATTGATGAAAATTATGACGAAAAATCATCACCGGAAACAATAGGAAGTTTTCATCAACGTATTATAAAAAATCGTTATCATCATCGGCCACCAAACTATATTTCCAATGAAAATTTATCATTTCAGTATGTTCCATCAAGATCATCTTCAGTCACTACAGATTCAACATTATTATCATCACGAGTTTCACAGATAACAACAGCATCATCAAATGCGTCTCAATCAACAATTCGCCCGTCTAACCATGAATCCAAGATAAAATTAAATACAAAAACGAAGCCAAAGGTTATATTGCAAAATTCAACTATTCCACGACGATTTGCATCTAGTAGTGTTACCAGATTTACTATGGAAACTGTTAATCGTCTATCAAAACCAAAGACATATCCTCAATTATTAGATGAAAAACCAGTCGTAGAACAAACGCATCGACGATCAAAACCTTATGAGAATATCAAGAAAAATACATTTGAAAGTCCAACAACGGAATCAATGTTATCATCTGGTATTAAACGAACCAAAGCAATTTTTATTAAACCATCTTCGAAAAAACTCAAGATAGATAATAAAGTTCCAAAGAATGCTTCTATAAACAATTTTACATGTCCACTAGTCTTTCAAACTCCAATACCAACAGTAAATTTTAGTTTTCCAAGTGAACAAGAACATAAATTATCTCGTTTTGCTGTTTTTCCTAAAACAATTCTTACAGGCAAAAGATTCAAATATTACTTTGATTAATTAACTACCCTTGAGGAATCTATTACGATTATTCAATTATGTTTACAGACATTTTTCTTTTTTTGATTTCGTTACTAACAACAATTCAGAATTAATTGGCACATGATTGTATTATTAAAACGATCTTTGAATATTTACTGACTGACTAAATATTTACTTTTATTAATTCAAATTAAATTGTTCTTTCGATAATAAAATATTTTTTTTTTGATTTTTGAAAAGTGAAATTTATTTCAAGTGATGCGCATTCTTAATATGCAGACATACTTCATTTATGCTTTTATGTTTTTCTTTTCAAGTCTTCAACACAAAAAAAGAAAAGAAAAGAAACCAATGATATCACATCAAGGACATATCAGATAAAGTATGGAAAAGAATATTTTATATAACAAAAAATAAGAATAAGATACAAATACAAATAACTTTTCACAATTGAAGAAAAAGAATACATTTATCGAAATAATTTTTTAAAGAAATCATCTTTTTTTGTTATTTCCTGATGATTGAATATTATCATTTGATGTTGATATGTTCGAAATAAATTTTAATCAATTAGAATCATGGAAGTTGATATTTTTGTCGAACATCATCTCTTGTTTGTTTGTTAGCTACAAGTGAATCACGTAATTGTGCTCTATTAGCTTCACGTTCTACATCAAGTTGTTCTTCCTCACGTGCTGCCTGTCCACGAACTAAGCGTTTACGAGCCTTAGCCCATGCTGGTTTACAAGAACAACAATAAATAAAACATATTATAGCAATAACACCAACAACTAAGAAAACAATCAATAAAATGAGATTTTGTGTATCAAAAAACATAGTATATAATAATCGATGTGTACTTTTTTGATAGTAAAAGTATAGAAAGTAGTTAATGATGTTGTGTTTTTTTCTGTTTCTCTTTTCTAGTGCTGGTGAGTCATCGTCTATTCGATAAATATTTACTGACTATAGAGTCATCAGTTTTTATTTTTTATCTTGTAATAATGAATTACTAATAGCAAAATTTTTCTTTCGAAATTATTAATATATATAGATCGGGGTGAAGTTATTTTTATCACCTAAGTTTGTGTTAAATATCTGGGATATTGTATGTTGATGTGAATACTACTTTGACTTTGTAGTAATAAGAATATTAACTGATAATGGAATAGATTATCGAACTAAAATACACGTTGAATCAAGCGAGGATTCTACCGAACTAGTTTTTTTTATGCATAGCTGATGTCTTTATTTTCATTATTAGATAAATGCCCGCTTTATGTGTATAATCATTCTTGACATCTAGTCCTTCGGAGATAAAGTATAACAATATCGAAGAACAGTTTTATACAGTTGTAGTGCCATTGATCCTTCTATGACATATACAGCTTTTATCGAATTCTTCTTGTGAAGCAGTTTTTGTATTGATGAAAATATTTGATGGTTGTCATTTTATGTTAGAATACAATATGGTTCTAACTATTTCAATGGCCTATTACATTCAAGTTAGAAATGAATTCGAATCTATGAAACATTGCACAATTATTATCGAAATTTCAAAAGAAGATCATCGAACAATATATTTATGATATTTTAACAAACATAATTAGAGAACTGGGGTTATGATCATTAGAAAAGGGGTCCGATACTATGTCCTAGTTCATCTTTCAAATGATGACAGCCCCAGATCTTTAGCAATCTTTGTTACAATATTGTGAACATTTTTTCCTATGATGTTGTTTTAAAATTCTGATAATAAATATAATTATGTATCAACTAATCGTAACATCTATTAACTATTAACACTTTTATTTCTCATTGTTTACGCCATTAGACATTAAATACTATCTGTCTAGATCACAAAACGTCTTCTCAAATTTCTTTTACATCATATAGATCAATTTTCCTACTCCATTTGAAAATTTAGTATTACCTTTTTTATGACTAACAAGATGAATGTGTTTTATGTATTATCATTTCTGGTGATTCACTTTATTGCTTAGGTCAAAACTTCAATAGAATCAATATTTAATTATACAACAATATTCTATACCATGTTACAGCCCATACATTTCTGCATTTGAAATACCAAATTTTTTCTTTCCCAGTTTCTACTTAAGGTCTGAAATATGTCAAGCAAGGGATTGAAAGCATGTTATTAAACATCACTTTTTTTGGTGATTCAATGAATTAGAAATCATGTAGCTGGAATTACTCAAAATGACCCCAAATGGAGTAATTCGGATCAGTTCAGAATCCCTAACGGTATTTTGGCTTTTACTTTTTTTCACGGCAGACTTCTTTCAAAATTCTTCCGCCATTCTATAGAGAACACTTCTCTAGAACGTAAAATAAATAAGAACGAAAAAGAATAAAATCAATTTTCAAATTTTTGATTCGATTTACCCCGAAGGATTTTACTTTATGTACACTTTTATGTGTTTTTTTTCAAATCTTCAAAAAGAAAAGAAACCAATGATATCAGATCAAGGACATATAAGATTGAGTTTGAAAAAGAATATTTTATTCAATAAAAAGTAATAAGATACAAATACAAATAAATTTTAACAATTGAAAAGAAAGATTTATATGTTCGAAATAAATTTTAATCAATTAAAATTATCAAAGTTGATATTTTTGTCGAATATCATCTCTTGTTTGTTTACCAGGTGCTAGTGAATCACGTATTTGAGCTCGACTGGCTTCACGTTCTTCAGAAATTTGTTCCTCATCACGTGCTAACTGTCGATAAACTATGCGTCGACGAAGATTAGACCATCCTGATTTACAAGAACAACAATAAATGCAATATGTTATAGCGATGAAACCAATAACTAAGAAAACAATTAATAAAATAAGATTTAGCATATCAAAAAACATAATATATATATTATTCGGCGTGTATTTCGTTAATAGTAAAAGTATAGAAAAGTAGTTGATGATGCTGTATTTTTTTTGTTTCTATTTCTATTGTTGATCAGTCATCGTCTATTGGACAAATATTTACTGAGTATTGAGTCATCAGTTTTTATTTGTGTGAAATGCGAATAGAAAATGAGTGTTCAAGTGTTAGGGGTAGAAATTTTAGACCCACCACGCAGCCTCCTCTCCACAGACGTGACAGACATCATTAATTAATCAATATTAACTACTCCTTAATAATTAATTAGTTAATATTAATGAATGACTATTGATCAGTATCATAGATCACGGTAAACGCTAAGCAGGGATTCTGATAGATGAAAATTATAACTACTATAGGTCGTGTCAAAGGTATTTTATCCTTTAAGTTTGTGTTAAGACTCCGGGGTACTGTATGTTGGTATGAATAGTACTTTGACTTTGCAGTAATAAGAAAAATGACTGATAATAAAATAGATTACCGAACTAGAATACACATTGAATCACGCGAAGATTCCATCTGACTATCTTTCTTCATATTTATCATATTCCAGTGTTCGTAGTTTCGTGAACTATTCTATATCTTGATCTAGTTTTTCTATACGCGGATGATGTCTTTATTTTCATGATTAAATAAGTGCCCGCTCTACCTGTGTTATCATTCTTGCCATTCTATGTCATAGATGCATTTCCTAATACCAGGATAAGTTAATGGTAAGAACCATTTTAGTTTTATTAGTTTTTAACTTAAGAGAAACTGTTATATGATGCACATAATATGAGAAGGTCCATGATTCGAACATATATTGAATTTCTACATAAAATAAGACTTCATTATAATAGAAAGAATTTTTTTCCTGTGAGAATAATAATTACAGATTGTCAATATTTGTAATAAATTTAAAATCAATTATATTTTCTACACATGTTTGAATCAATATAGTGATTACATAAAGTCTATCAAGGTAAACTTTCTTCTCTGGAAAGTATCCGTAATTAATCAAACGACATGCATATCGTTTCATTCGATGATAAACTCAGTTGGAGACATTATTTTTCCAGACGAAATTTAGAAAATATTCTTAATCTCTGGATATTAATTATGATTTGTTAATATGGATAAAAAAGATTTCCTAGTTATCCGTTGAAAAAAGAAAATTGATCTTAATGATCATTTTATTAAAATAAGAACAAACATCATATAAATTCTTACGAACAAAAAGAAAACTAATACATAAAAGAACAAAAAAAACAAAAATCTTATTGCACTAAAACAACTAATTAAATCATATCATCGTCAAATGAACGACTCATTTTAATATAAGTTGATGATGTTGAACTTGATAATGATGAAGATTGATTTGTTTGTTGATGTGTTGACGATGATGACGAAGGAGAAGATATTATTGTCATCGCAGTAAATTGTGGTGAAGGTGACGATGAAAAAAATAATGTATCATTTAATGATGATGATGGTGTTATATTAATTTGTTTATTTAAAACTTGTTTTTGTTGTAAACATAAATAAATAATAATAAGGATAATAATTATTATTAAAAATATCAAACAAACAATAATCATTTGTTCATTAAATATATGATTTCTACAATCTGGTTGGATCGAAAGTTTAAAATTTGTAAATATCGAAGATGAACTATTATCTTCAAGGTAAATATCAAACGAATATTTTCTTATCAAAGATTTAACAATCAATGTTCCATTTGAAAAAAGTTTAAGATCAGTCGACGAAGGATTTCTGATTGAAAACGATACATCATTATAAGATTCTAATTGTATACGAATATAATCATGATTTTGTATAACAAAACAATAGGGTGACGAAGTTTTTAATATGGGTTTATAACTAATAAGAATTTCTATTGTAATCATATCGATATATAATGAATCATTAGCAATAATTCGAAAATGAAGTTTAGTTATTTGTTTTGAGTTAAATTTTATTTTTGTATATAAACTTCCATTAGGATTTAATTCAAGAAAATTTTGAATATAATTTAAATCAAATGGATGAATATAATACATAATTGGGTAATTTTTATCTTTATCTTCTGCTTGAATATGAGTAAGAAATGTTCCACTAGGTTGATTATCTTGAATTTTTAATTGAGTAAAATTTTTTAAGAATTTAACAGGATTATCATTCAAATCATTGAGATAAATGTATATTGGAATTAATGTTTGATGACCGATTAAATCTTGAGCTATAAGAGTAAAATAATAGAATGATTGATGTTCATAATCAAGACTTTTTTTAATAATTAGTTGATTTTGTTTATTGATGTAAAAAAGATTTTCATCGTGTTGATTTGAAAATTTCAAATCGAATGTTATTTGATCATTTTCATCGAGATCGTATGCTTGAATTGTATGAAGAAGAGAATTTTCTTTATTATTTTCATTGATAATAAATGTATAATTTATTGATGAATTAAAATATGGAAAACAATCATTTATATCCATTAGATGTAAATCAAATGTATTTATTAATGAATGAAGTGGTTTACCATGATCATAAATAATTATTGAAAATGTATGAGAAGATTTTTCTTCACGATTAAAAAGTGTATTTGTTAAAAGAATTGAAGTATTATTATCGATATTTTGTAATTCAACAATTGAATTTGAAGATATTAATTCAATTGTTACACGTCCATTTTCACCTGTATCACAATCGGAGACAGTTAGATAAAGAATTGGTGTATTAAGAGAGATATTTTCAAAAATATTGATAATTGTATTATTGATTAATGGTATATCAGGAGGTGAAAAAGTATATATTTCTGGTATACAATCATTCTCATCGATGACCTAGAATAATATTAATTTATTTGTTAATTAAATCTAATATCGATTGCTTCAATAGAGACAGCCCTAGTCCACTTTTAAAAGTATCACTATCGAGATCATAGCCGTCAGTCTCGATTCTAATATCAGCTCACTATCTGGAATCGTCCATCGCTATTCGACGGAAGGGATCGGGAAATAGTATTAAGTTCTCTCTACTGTTATTGGATTTGTCTTCAAAGTCTGTGGGAACTGAGTCTCGTTCGAAAATTAAAACTAAACAGGTGATGATAATTTCTGTAAATAAGTTCTTTTCTTTGTGTACAGTTGTATGAATACGAGATACTACTTTACTCTATAAGACATAAATCATCGGCTGAGAAAATAATGACTTTAAATTCTTAGTGATCAAAATGACGCGTTTTATATCTCCCGAAATGATTTTTTATTCTCCATTCGTCAAGTCATAGTATTCAGATACTGGATTTAAACTGTGCTGTGAATATTTTCAATAAAAGTTTTTCCTATTTGATTATATTCATAACTTGTACATTCTACATATTTCTCAAACAATCTTTTTCTTATCAATCGAAAGGCGTATATGGATAGATCGTTATAAAAATGCGAAATATATGCTAGTAAAGTTATAAATAAAAGAATTGTTAGGTTCTAATCATCACCCATGCATTGGAAGATTATAGACTGAAATCGGATTATGATTTTAAATAATAACGTATTGAGAAATTCATTGAATAATTTCTTTTTTTTTTTGGTAATAATCAAGAAAAGATTAAAGACTACAATACTAAACATGAATGTATAAATTCATTCATATTTTATTAACTACTTATTGGCAATGTCGCAATCGTACGTACGTATAGCCGTACATAAAATCATTATTAAAGTACATTCTCATTGTTATATAATACATAAAAAAACCTTGTTGAATAGTTATTTCATATTAAAAGAAATATAAGCAGTGGCGTAAATAGAGAGGGAGCGTGAGGCGTGGTATCCCCCCCCCCCCCCCCCCCCCAAAACTAATAGGAAAAAAGGAGTTTATGCCCACCCTGCTTCTAGAAAGTTCACTTTTTTTGACCATTGAAATAGAAAAACTAGGGTTACGTCCCCCTGCTCTGACACTTGACTTACGCCCCTGAATATAAGACATACATATTCGTAATATCATACCTGTATAATTACGGTTGCATATGTTGGTATTGCATTTGGACCAAGATCTTTTGCTTGTATTTGTAATTCATAATTATTTCTTTTTTCATAATCTAATTGTTTTAAAAGTATAATTGAACCATTATTTGAATCTAAATAAAATATATGTTGAATTGTTTTATCAAGTAATGTCCATTTTGAAAAACTATATTCAATTTGTCCATTAAGACCTTCATCAGGATCAAATGCTTTCATTTGAATAAGTTCCGTATTAATTGCCGTTAATTCAGATACATTAATTATAAATGGTAATCGTTGATTATATTGAAATTTAGCTGAATTATCATTAATATCAGTTATTTTAATTATAATTTTTGTACAACATGAACGTTTATGTTCATTAATACCTTCATATGCACAAAAATTAAAATCATATTTATCGATTAATTCACGATCTAATTCTTTCATAATAATTATTGATGGTGTTAAATGATTATCAAGATAAAATTCTGTATAATTATTTGTTTGAAAATAATACGATTGAATATTATTTGGTGTTAAATCAGGATCATATGCTAATGGTAAAATAATTCGAGTATTTATCCGAATATTTTCACTTATATTTAAATGAAAAATTTCATTTGAAAAATAACAATAATTATCATTTTCATCGAAAATTATTATTGGTAACGATAATAAATGTGTATATATGTCACTTATTGCATTTATTTCAAGTTTAATTAAACATTCATTTGAACATGAACATAAATTTAAATGACAAAGATTTTCACGATCAAGAAGACGTTTAATGGTTATTGTACCTTTAAGATTATCTAATAGGAAATATGTTTTTAATGATGTTTGAGTTAAAAATGTAAATTCCCAATTTGATAATGGTAAAACATCTAATAATTGTGTAATCGATGTACCAATAGGAGATGATTCACTACAATTAACAGTTGGTAAACGAATATATCGTGCTTGAATTATAGTTATATTGACTATAAACCATAGCCATAAACGAGACATAGTAGCATGATTATGACATTAATAATATATAGATTCTAAAAATGTAAATAATGTTCTTGTCTAAAAATTAGATCAATTGAATGCTTATCAAATTAACTCGTACTGTTTTGTTCCTTATGTCTGATTATGATTCCGTCGTACAAGCAGAGAGTGAACAGCTTGAACGTATCTGTTTATTTTTTAAGTGTGTTCTTCCGTCTTTTGATTTTCTCTGATCTTATACCGCTAATTGAAGAAATTAATGATCTTTGACTGATTTTCTATGTCATCGATACTCCAGCTGATACATTGCAACATATTGTTAAGTTTTTAATCGATGATTTAATTCGTTTCTCTTCACTTACCTAAGACAATCAATGAATGTTGATTACGTATAATTCTCTTGTAAGAAGAAGTAATAGATATATAACATATGTAGAAGAAAAATGAGCGTACATCTTACATTTCATAATTGATCTTCTTTAGATTTCAGTAGAACATTTATTTCTTACTCATATACACAAGGACATTCATTCGAGAATAAAAAGCTACTTTATTCTTTCTCGTTTTTCTACTCGATACTCTTCCTTTTTTTTTTAATCGAACATTGTTTTCTTCATTGATACTAAATCGATGTATACTATAAGTAATATATTATTTAAATAAAATATTCTCACTGGAATATTCGACCTCGTCTTTATTCTATTAAGATTAAAGAAAAAAGTAATAGTATCTGTTTTTCTAATATTCAACAAAAATACTGTTTACTTTAAATATAAGATAATAATCTGTATACATACGTTGTATATTCAATCAGAAAACTATTCAATTGATTTCCTTCTTTCTTCTTTTATGTGAATCTGTCAATCTGACATTGTTCTCTCGAATTAATCAACTAGCGATCCACTTAAAATGAACTATGTAAGAAACTGACAATAATTGAAAAACAAGGTCATTTGTATACAAGAAAAATAATCTATCAATATCATTGATAGGAAATATATATATAATCAATCTATTTTCACTTACGAATATTGTTTGAATAATTAAAGATATGGAAAAAGACTTCAACTGTGTGTATTTGATGCCATGTTATTTTGTTCTTTTTTTTTTCTTCTGGTCAAATTGAACAGACAGACAGATAGATGATGTAGAAATCGCGCCGTATGATTATATATATATCTATTAAATCGTAAAGGCTTCTTTTGTCTATCCCTTGTTTCGCGACGTTATAATGAGAAGAACAGATTGATGTTTATCATCACTTTTTCCCCTCCCTCTTCTTTTTTTTCTCTATATATGAACGACGAGAAAAGAGAGAGAAAAAACCGTATTGTTACTATGTATTTTGAAACTATATCTACTATTGAACAATTTAATAATAACTACTACTAGTCAATTCAGCAAACAAGCAGAAAAAGAAAACTCTAAAGAACAAAGACAAATTGTACATATGAACTGTTAGTTCATTTTATCAATCAACAATCAGACAGACAGTACAACATATTAAATATTTACCCTTTTGTCTTCCAACTCTTTCTTTTTTTGATGTTACAAATAAAAATGACATGTGTGTCAATATCTATTCATGTGCATTCTATATCTTACATCATCATACATGTACAAGTGATGGATTTCGAACCATAATTCCGGTGTTAATGTGATAAAGATAAGACTTCTAATGTCCATTTCCGTTGTCCATGTGTCGCCGGTCATTCTACTCATTGAAGCGAACTGCTTTTCTTCCGTAGTCAATCACATTTCTTCTTCTTTTCGAACATGCATCAATCAAAATAAAAGGAAAGATATGACAATAGTGAACTTGTTACATCTGTATCAAAGAATAGAAAGTAAATCTATTCACTATAATATGATGATGAGCTAAATTGTAATGAACAAGTCTGGTAGACTTCGATAATATATCTTAATTAAATGATCGTCTGTTGATAAGTAGATCATTTCGATTTCTAAGCAATACATATATTATAGATCTCTCATATTTAATTTATTCAAGACGAATTGGGTGGAGTATTTAATCAATCAACCGAATATAAAATATATACTTAACATCTCAATTAGATAGACATCAACTAAAATAATACATAATTGAATTACGTCTTTTTTTTTGAATAAAAATATAATATTATAACAAACCTTGAATTAATATTGAAGTAGAAATATAATTTTAGTTCAACAATATTAATGAAAACTTGTTACGTATATTTTTTATTGTTTTATAATCGATTGTAAAAATATACCCACGTTTTTTTAGTAAAGCATAAAAATAGTACAATATTTGCTGTATAATTGACATTAGTTTTGGATGACGATATGCGAATGTTCTTCCGTCAATGTCGTATACCTTTTCTTTATTAATACATTGTATATCTTATATTAATATAGATGTTCTCGTTTGAATAGAAGTATGATATATATTTTCACTTGGTTACACCTTCTTTTTTTTTAGTATTGTTATCGTTCGTGATTTCTTCGGTTGTAAGCCCTCACAGTTATTATACTTCTTTTTATTTTATTCATAAAAAGTTCTATTGAAAATTATATAATAATACTAGGCGGAATTATAAACCATACTCATTCACAGTATGTATTATAATTGTAGTTTAGAAAAATAAACCTACGTCAAGAATCTTTTTTTTTTTTATAAATTTACCTATCTCTTTCAATTATCAACCAATGAATAAATTAGTTAACGATATAAAAAAAATATAGTATTTACGCAGTTGGAAAATTTTATTTTTTTCTAATTTCCTTCTTCACTTCTTTTGTTTTCCTATTGACGAAGAAAATTTTAAAATAGAATAATCTAAAAACTAGATCATTAAATATTCTTTTTCAGTACAATTGTTTGCTGACGATCAATATTCGAATAATTAATGAAAAGCAAACATATATTTTAATGAATAATAATATACAGATATTTATTCTTTTTTATTTAAACAATGAAATTGAGCATTTAACTAGACTGACATTTTCAAAATATTATACTAAATTATGCCGATAGGTTCAGCCTTGCATTTTTCATTATGGAATTGCTAGACAATCATTGCTAATGTATATTATTAGCATTTTATTCAATATGAAAATCATGAAATATGATTTTCTCTTAAATTTTATAAATACTACAGTACTTTGACATTTGATATGTTGAAAAACAAATACTGCACGTAAAAGTATTCATGTGTAATAATCTTCTTGTTTATTTTTCATACGTGTTAAATATGTATCCAATAATAATCGTACTTACTTTGTTTTTCTTAATCGTATGAAGTAATTCAAAACGTAACCTGACATGGAATGTTAGAATTATTTTCTTTGAGTATCGATAATAAAACGAAACATAGGTAAAAATAGTTTTCATTCTGTTATATATGTAAATAGAGAAAGACACGCTATTTTTTGATATAGGAAGAATTATATAAGAAAAAAAACAAAGAATTTTAAAACTACATTTTAAAAATATTTGCACGTGGCATATAAGAAATTGAATTTTTTTGTTTTTATTGAGTTATTATTATTATTATTATTCACAAATACATTTTGTTCTTTTTTTGATAGATACATTATTCATTTGAAAGTAAATAACGTTTACCTTTTTGCGATGGATTTCTATTACCAATATGAAATGAACGTCTTAAAGTATTAAATCGTTGACCAATTGTTAATTTTTGATTCGAATCTTCATTATGAATTTCTTCCTGTTGAGGAGGAGGAGTATCATGACGTTTTTTTAATAATAATGAAAAACGTGTACGAATTGATCGATTAAATGGTGTTTTTTCTAAATTTTGTTTACTATTTTCAATTTTTTGATCATTATATGATATATCATAATCAGATTGTTGTTGTTTTGAATTAATTTCATTCGGTAAAGATATTCTTAATAGAAAGAATAGTCTATATGTTTAACAAAATAGAACAAATATTCTTACGATTGATTCATATGTGTTGTAGGTGCTAATGGTGCTTTTCGCTGCTTTTTTGAAGTTTTTATCTTCTCATTTTCATTTGACATTATTAATGGTGATGTAAGACCCGTTGATAATTGTGGATAAAGTGGTGCATGTTGGATAGAATTTTCATCATTCTTATTAAATATTAAACGTTTATTTGAATTCGTACTTTCAAGTCTTGGACGTGGTCTTGTAAGTGTATTTCGAAATGATTTACGTATTTGATTAGTTAAACGATCTAATGGACGTATACGAGTTTTTTTTGATGATGAAAATGGATCATCATTTTCATCATCATCACCATCATCATTATTCGAATAAATATCATATCGAGGTTCAAATACTTTCGATTTAATCTTTTCTGATGATGACGAATGTGGTAATGCTGTTGATTGCGGTGGTGGTGGCGATGATGATGAACTACGACGTTGTCGTTGTAAAAAACTTTTTGATTTCACTGGTTTAACTAAATTTAAATCTGAATTGGAATAAGTATTAGTATCAATTCGTGAATAAATATATTATTACCGTCATGTTTTTCTTTTCGACGACGATAACTAAAGGATTTCCGAAGGCTATATTTCATTCTAAATATTTTAAAATAAAAAGTTCATAGTTTAATTTTACTATTCATAAAATATAAAAAGAATAACCTTGAATAGTTCTATGAAATAGTAAAATGAGACAATAAATATGACAATAATTGTATAAAATAAAATAAAAAAAGAAATAAGAGCTAAAACAAGGTCATCCTTATTTTCTTTTTCTTCTTTCTCCTTTTTTTAAATGCAAATAAAGAAGTGTGGTATGTGTTAAATTCTAAGTGTAAAAAAAAAAGAGAAAACGACGAATAAGAAGAAGCAATGACATCAACAGTAGAAACATGTATGCGGTGCAAGCAACTAAGGTATTAATTTAGATAACAATAAAAAAACAAGAAAGAAGAGAACAATGCGTAGGAAGACAAAAAAAAACGAGAATATAAAATAAAAAAGAAAGAAAAATGTAATGAAGAAGAAATATACAATCAATAGAATTAGATTTTTGTTTATCGAAATAATGAACGTGACATGTCAGAATTGTCACATTGATGAGTGAACACTTCCTATCCGTCTTAGTCTTCTTATTTGAGCATGAGCGGAAAAGATCGATGAAGTAAATGAATAAGAAAAAAAAAAGAAATAAAATACGTAATTTCAATCAAGATGGCGTGACCAGTAAAGGATTAAAATAAATCAACATACACATACATACATAGTTATTTATTTTTATCAACATCACGCAAGTTTTATTTTAAGGCGAAGAAGAAAAGAAACAACAAAAACTTTTAATTCACCTTCTACTTATTTCTTTTTTTTTCTTCGCTTCTATAAAAACAACATATCATCATATCAGATTATCTTTTATTAGTAACGAAAAGCAAATAAATTACTCGTTTTCTTACTAACAAATCAAAAAACCGTTATTAATATAACATTTTTTTTTTCTCTTTTTTTTTGACAGTCATCTGTCGTTTGTCTTCATCACGTTGATTAGATGAACATGATATTTATAACCTTCTACTATACACTGTTTATTTACGAAAAAGACAATGCTGAGTTCTTTAATATTCTTTTTACATTATGAATGAATTTTAACGATGCAAAAGATAATAGACTTAATGGATGAAACTAGTAACTTATTCATATTAGAGACGATAGTTCAGACTATATTTGAAAGGCTTTTTCTCTAATGAGTTCTGACTAACGGAATAAATAATTAAATAAATGAGTTCCGGATCTGTATTTTGTCTATAGATAATTCAAATTATATAAAAGAAAAAGAACTAGAAGAAAATCGAAGCCATATCTTATTCTATAGCTTAATAAATTAAATCAAATATATATGTATATTTCATTAATTCTGTCACGATTTATTTAATAAGCGAAATTTTTGCCTAGAAATAAATAAATATGTCCGAAATTTTATTGACTTGATTTCAATCTATACATACTGACTTACTGGATCAGAAATTAATAATGTCGTATAATCGATAATAAACACATTCGATCTATTCTTTTTATCAGTAATATTTAGTCCAAAAAAAAAAGAGAAGAAACAGAAAAGATAGACATTTTTATTAGAGATTAGAGCATCCTACATCGTGTAAGAAGGTCATAATGTTCCCTAAAGCTTATCGAATGTTCGTCTTCTCGATGGCATTAATTAGTAATCTAAAGGATATTGCTTAAATATGCGTCATAGTTTATTATTGAAATATATAAAAGAATACATAATTCAATCAAAACATCTATCAAAGAAAAATTCATATTTATGATTACGAAGTAGTCAGATAAAAATGGTTGATCTTTTAATAGGTAATATTGATTATTGACATAGTACTATTAATACAAAATAAATAATAAAATCGTAGTTATTTTTATCTCATTCATTTAACAACTTTTCGTATCGTTTTTTAAGATTATATTTGTTTAAAAGATCACTATTTACAATTGTAATCAAAATGTCAATAAATAATAGTACACCTAACAATTATTCTTGGACATTAAATGCCACTATGTTTGATTCATAGCTGGTAATTTATTTTATCAATTACGAAATGAAATGCGACAAATAGGTGAACATGTACCACGTGATATTTCAATTTCAGATACGTTAATAACTCAAAACAAGGATGAATATGAACCATTTTTTCGACATCCGGCTGATGAACAACCTGAACTTATATCTTGGACACCGACAGCATTACAAATTCAATCATGCTGAGAAATATTTTAATGGTGAACATTTAGATAATTTTAGATTGATGAGAAGAAATCGACTGTTTATTTTTAGTCTTTGATGGATTGAGTATCTATATACATTGTTATTAATGAAATCTGAACATGTTTAAAGCAATATATTCTAAGTTTTCAAATAAAAGTATTACATAGTAGATGAAATCATTAACAAAAAAATTATTCAAATTAACCTATGGAAGTTTATGCTTGCATCAGTTGTTATTATTAATTTATTTCTATGAAATAGATTAATACGACATGGCTTTTCATTATATGTACTTGTTTCCAATATTTTACCATCTGAAGAGATATGTATAAGACTCGATGTATTATAATCTGATAATAACCAATGTCCATGATTAAGAGAGCAACATGATAGATAACCATCGCTATATACGACATCTAATTTAAGTGACCATAATCGTTCGAAAGTTTTTGATAATTTTAATTCTATTCGTTTTTCTTTTTCTACAAGATCGACAATTATCATAGCTATTGTTTCATTTTTACACACAGTTCCTATAATCATTTGACGTCGCGTACAAGTCTCGGGTGATTTCCATTCTTTTTCAAATTGAATAGACGGTAATAAGCTATATTGTAAAATTGATGAACCACAAAATAATGTAGAGAGAAACAAAGATGTATCAGAACATGTACATGACCAACATCTTCGATCTTGATCTATGGGTATACGTTGAATTAACATTGTATTCGGATCCAGAATGAAGATAGTATGTCGATCTAATAGAATAAATTGAGCCAATGTTGATGACCAACACATATCATAAACATGATCAAAATTTTCTTGACTTTTCCTAATTACTGTTAGATTCTGATCCATCAAATATAAATCTAATCCTTGATGTATCAAACAAAACTGCTCATTAATTGCTATATGTTGGCGACCACCATTCATACGATCTATTGTTTTGTAAGGAGGTATGAGTGATGATAATTTAAATTGAGGTAGGTGTAATTCTTCAATCTGAATTAAACTATGATCAATAGCTAATGAACGACTAATAACATCAAAACGTGTATACTCTATATTATCTATATCATGTTCAGTTTTATGAATAGCTTTTTGCAGTAAATCAATATCTGTCATTGTTGTTTCTTGTTTTTGAATAAGTTCATCAATTATGAAATTTATCCTTAGAATTTCATTTCGTTGTCGTTCAATTTTTTCATTTATACGTTGATCAATCTTTTGACATGTTTGTTCAAATATATCATCAATTATTTTGTAACAACTAGCACGCCATTTTTCAAGTTTTTGACGAGATTCATCAGTCACTATATTAAGATTAAATGCTTGAAGACGATTATTTAGTATATTAATTTCATCAGCAAATGTATTCAATTGTAAATTTGGTAAATTATCATGTTCATTAAAATGACTACGACAAAAATTCTTTTTACAACAATGACATTGTGTACGTGACGAACTTTTGCACATTTCTACAGAACATTGTTCCGACATTTCCTAATAAAACAAATAATTAACTAAATTATATATAATTGATTGTTCGTGATAATACTAATAAAATAAAAACAAGAAAAATGAGTATTGTGTGTACTCATATGTTATCAGTTATTTGTCCAAGAAACATAGTTTAACCGCACGATAATAAAATGTTGATACTGCGAATTTCGTTTGCATTATAATGAAACGACAGATGGTGTCACTTGTTAAATACATATTTACATGTTTTCATAATACAGAATACCTATTAATATTAATCTTATATTTTCAATAAATTAAGAATAGAAAAAAAAATCTAATGTTATTTTATATGGCATTGTTATTACACTATTAAATGAATACCTCACACATCGACATAACAGTCTTCCTATGTATGTTCAATGAAAATAACCTATTAATTATTCTCTAATCAATACAAGTTTTTATAACATTATTAAACCGACTAATTGAATTCATATTGTTTACAATGAGTTGATATATATCATGTTATTGAATAGTTAATCAATTGTTTATTCGATTAATATGAATATACATATTCTTAAATATTAATCGAGTTTATCTATTCAGCAGTTTGTAACTTATAACATCCTTGACAACAATGTCAAACAAAAACTTCACTAGGGAATTCATTTTTCAATTCTTTTGTAAGTTATAAGTAGAAATATATTGATCGAAGACTCGATCATGCATATTTATTACTATCATGCTGCCTCTTTGATTACTCTTAAATATACTTATTCCGGCATGCAAACAAAATAAAAAATACACTTTCATTAGAAATATTCTTTCCGTTCTATATAAAAAAACTATTTTTCTTTCTATTAAGCATATTCCGAATACAAAAAAAAATCAACGAGAATCATTCCATTGCTTATAAATTCGATAATGACACACAAGTGATTCAATTTCCTGCTCATATCTTTAACTTGCTTGCCAATTCTTTTTTTCAGGGTCACCTTTTTTTCTTTCTCTCTTTTTTCTCTATTTAATATTACGTAACTTCATGCGTGCACTCTGTCGTAAAACACGACTCAAGCAGATTGTATGTGTTCACACTAGCGATACATGAAGGGGAATTATGCGTGTGTGTGTGTGTGTATAGGTTCTCTTCTCGTTTTTTTCTCTCTTATTTTACTATACTCACATATACCTGTATGAATTCGGTCATCTCCATTAAGCAAAGAGGAAAAAAATCATTTTGATTCCAGTCGATACTTTAGTCGTTGAAAAAAAGTATTTTGCATCTGTTTTAAGTCTTTCTTGGATTCCATTAAAGGTAAGTGTAGATCACTTAAATTATTTAAATAATTTTCTTCATCGTAAATTCATCATTAACAAAATTTTCTTCTTTTCTTTGTGTATAATGAGGCAGGCGTATATTTATATGAGAAATAGAACGTCATCTTAAATTACATATTCACTTGTATTCAATGCCAATGAGTTTTGACTTATATAGATAACATTAAACTGTTCTATTCGTACTTTTTCTTTTTCTCTTTTTTTTCTGTTTAAGAATAAATCATTCGACCTTTAACTAAGAACAGAAAAAAGGTATGATCGATTTTTAGGAAGGAAGTGATTTCTTTTTCTCGTTCGTTGCTTTTTGTAGTCAATCATGATATCGTAGTTTTTCTCTTTTTTTTTACAAAGCTCGCCTAATAGGATTTTCTTTGACCGCCACAAGTAATGAATCAGTTGAAAAGAACATCATGATGAGATAGGATAGGACACATATGCTCAATCTTGTTGAATAGAGGAGGAAGAAAAAGTTATCTTGAATTGAGTAGATGAAAAAGAACAAAAAATGAGTTATACCATCCTTAACAATAGGACAAAAAAGTGCGTGCATGAGAAAGAAAGGATTTGATTTCATCTGTTACTTACATTTGCATCATGAGCGAGAATATATGATAAAGTAAGATAAAAAGAATGCAACGTTTAAAACTTTGTTTGCATTTGAAACGAACAAAGATATTCGATTCATTTGTTTTGAACTCAGAACAAGTTCAAGGTTTCATGCATATATATATATATTTTTAGAATGAAATTTGTCTTAGTAACTATTGTATTATGTGCGACTATTTATGTCGCATATGGAATGAAATTACTTGCTTCATCATCACGTCAATTAAATCGTCGAGAAACTAAATTAGTCAAACGATTAGTCAAACGACAAGCTTTGAATGGTAGGACATAATCGAAATATATCGTACATTTTAATTTTTATTCATTTAGATCCAAATTGCGATCGTCGTACTTGTAATGTACCTAATTGTGGCAAAGATTTTGTAGCAGCTGCTTTACCAGGAGAATGCTGCGAAAAATGTGTACCATGGGAATACGCTTCAAGTTTAGGTTTGCAATATCCACAAGCACCACCACCACCACAACCAGCCTATGATCCACGAGCACAACAAGCTTATCCATATAATCAATATCCATATAATCAACCACAACCACAACCACAACAATATCAACCACAACGCGTTGATGTTTATATATTTGGACCTGAGGATGGTGCTCGTGTATCTGCTGGACAAAGTATTTATTTTGATTGTGAAGTTGTTTCACCATATAATCAATATGCTCAACCACGTTGGTCACGATCTGGCAATCAAGTTAATCACATTTTATATTATAGCTAATAAAATATATATATATTTTTTTCTTTTCATGTTTTAGCCATTACCATATAAAGTGCAGAGTACAACGCTTCCAGGTAATCGTAAACTTGCACGACTTGCAATTCCTGATGCAACTCAGAGTGATGCTGGTCGATATGAATGTAATGGTGGTACTGGTAATGCAAATGATCAAGCTTCAATTGATTTACAAGTACATTATTTTTCTATTATATTCATATTGTAATCATTTTTGTTTTAAGGTAACTGAAGGTGGTTATTATCCTCGACAACCAGCACAACCTCAACCACAACCACAACCACAGCCGCAAGCACAATATCCTCCATATGATCCATATAATCAATATCCATATAATCAACCAAATTATTATCCTGCTCAACCACAGCCACAACCACAACCTCGTCCTCAACCTCAACCACAAACTCAACCTCCGCCACAGCCAGCTGCTGACGATGGAGGTAACGATGAAGGAGATGAGGGTGAAGATGCTGGCATAGATGAAGATCAAGAACCAGCAGCTGAAGCAACAACAACAATAAAAACAACAACTCCACAAGCATCTGCAGCTCAGGAAGAAGGTGGTGAAGGTGGAGAAGATGAAGGTGAATATCCTGAAGATTATACGGAAAATGACAAGTAATAAACGAAAAAAACGAATAATATGTAGTAATAGTAGTAATTAAACACAGCCAAGCGAATTCTATTTTCTATCTCGCGTTTATAACAACACTAGAATAGATTTATTCAATTCATTCATTCATTCATACAGTTCTTTTTTTTTCTTGTATGTTGTGTCTTTTTCTATAATTAATAATTGTCGTCTTTTCTTTCCATTTTGTTTTTATTAAAAATATAGAAATGTCACTAATTAATCTATATGATATTGCACTATTGTTGATATAAAATAATTAACTTCTTATTATTTCAACAAACAAAGATATATGTATACATACTTTTTCAAGTATCTATTCTCTTTCTATTATGTCATTCTTTGTATAGTCCTATAAGATAAAACATGGTATATACATTATGAACAGTTTTATCTATAGTAGTTTGATTAATTGAATTGATATTACATATTAAAGTATCTAGAATATTGCAAGATTATATTTTATCTTGTTTTAAAATGGTCATGACAGATATGAAGAGTTAAGCAAAATTCAGAAAGAATTTTTCTTGTTCAAACATATATAAGTGGAACGGACATAAGTATTATCATGTACGATATGAATATATTGCTTTAATTAATGACACATCTGATTAATCTCACAAGTAGAATTAGTTTTTATAAGAATATCATCAAAATAAAAAAATCTCGTATTCTGTGAAACAATTTTCAGACTCAAACAGAAAAAATGTCATTCAATGTTGTTAAAAACACAATTCAGATACATGTCTTAGTAACATAACAAGCACAACTCGTAAAACTTCATAACCTTATTTCAAACCTTGATCAGTGAATTAATTTTATTATCAATATATAACAATTGTCCAATATTTCAGTTATTATTACCTGCTCATACATGTAAACTATTGATTTAAAACAATTCGTATATAAGACGAATGTTGTAGATTGTTTATCTTAAAGTTTTTTCATGAGCTTTGATTGTAATATGAATAAATGATTGGTTCGGTAGTAATTGGTATTGACCTTACACGAGTGCAAATAGTACATTCAATATAAAGATAATAAATTTATACCTTTTTTTATTGATTGTTAAAATATATAAAATGTATTTTTAGTTTTGTTTTTTATTGAGTAGTGTAAGTTAAAAATAAATCTGTTAACAGCTATGAAAAGAATCTATTTTCCTAGCAGTCGACATGATTATTTAATAGTCTAAAAATTGAAGATGTTTGAATAATAAACTTTTATTATTTTATCGCGTTTTGGATTAAAAAGGACGTTTTTATAACAGTTGTTGTCGCGTACTCAGAATTACTTGAAGATAATAGAAATGATTATTTTATATAGTTTTCTCAATAAACAGGATTATTATGATAAGATAAATCATAGATTTAGTTATAGCAAATAAAAGTAAAATTTACTGTTAATCATTTAAAGCGTGAAGAGTTTGTAAAAAATTCTACGAACATTAAAAAGAGTAAAAAATCAATTACTTCAATTTTCTATATAATATTTAATTCTTTATTGAATCATATGAGTGACATCTTCATCAATAAACATTTTTAAATGATTTTGATGGTGTTCAAAACCGAAAGATTTAATCATGTGAAAAATCAAAGCAATGATTGATATTTGATTTATTGTATTTTACATTTTTCGTATATTGAATCTATAAATAGACATACAGTCAAAGTTAATAATAGTATTTAAATGTGTAAAGCTTATCGCATTGATGATAAATTGTATCAATAAACTATCACGCACAGATATAGACAAATGTTTTGCCATTGACAGTTAAGCGATGATTAATCCCGTGGGTTATTGAATTAAAAAACAACTTCAATTTTTTTTTCTTGTTAATTTACGCATGTCGATTAGCAACATTAGTATGACGTGTATATCATTCTATTTTTACTTCGATGGTACAATTATGATTGAAATATATGTGGGAAAATGGCACATACAAGAAAAAAAGCATGAAATAAAACATTGACATAGTCTATTCAGGTAGAGAAAATGTGGCTCAAAGGTTGATTTTTTATATTTATATATGTTAATTGTTGTTCTGGGTATGGCGATAAACATATGCCTACAGATTTTACGAGACATAAAAAAATTCCTTTTGAAAAAGCAATAATTCGATACGAAAAATCGTCCGAAATTTTTGTTGTTTCTTTCTTATGACCGATGGTATGATCATCAATTGGTTGTATGAACTCAATCAATATGACTAAAATCATATATCTTTCTTTTTTTTTTCAAGTTCACATCAGTATATTTTATTTGTATATGTACATATATACTTATTGAAAAGGAACGGCAACATTGATAGTCTTTCTCTTTTTTTTTCATTATTCGAATATATACATATAGGTATGCTTTGAAAATGAATTTATTTTGTCCTTCAATAGCTGTAACATTGAAGAGAATGATGGTTTGCGTTGGTATGTGCTGTGCGTTGATGATATGTGTGCATTTTATGCGCAGTACATAGAAGGAGAAAAAGAGAGAGTGCGCGCGCGCGAAAGAGACATAGCAGAGTTGACGAAAAGAAAAGTACACTCTAGGAGTGACAAGCAGTAAAGAAAAAAATTCCATTAACATAAAACATATATCGAAATAGAATAAATGCTACATCGTTTTATATTTAAGTTTGTATAGGTAGAAAGATCATGTGAATATTGTTAACTTAAAGTACATATTGATATGTTAGTCTTGCTTTTTGACCGTGACATGTATGAGAATAAACAGGTTGAGACCTATCTAACATTTCTATTATATATATATATGTATATGTAGTTTTAAATGAACAAGAAATGAGTGACCGAGTTTATTACTATTATGACTGAACAAGGGAGTACAGTGAGTTAGTAAGAAGAAAGAAAGAAGAGAAAAAGAATAATAAAAGAACTGTAACCGCACCAGAGAGTAACGAATGAAGAAAAAGTTGCATCGACTACAAACGAGCACACGCAACAGCTCCTTCGACTTGCGCCATTCGTCATTTGCTGTGCTTCTTCTTCTTCTTCTTCTTCTTCTTCTTCTTCTTCTTTTACCTACTTCTTCTCTTTACCGTCACCGGTTTTACGACTGCAGTTGCTGTTAAAATAAAGAATGAAAAAGAAAAAAAAAAACGGAGAAAAAAAAAGAGCCTCCATCAATATACTCGTCAACTCAAACATTTTTCTCTTTTTTTAACACTTTTACATAATTCGTCTCAGCATCTATATACTACTACTGACTTGTCATTCGTTCTTTTAAATTAGTTTTTATATACTTAAAAATCACACAAATTATTTCAAAATAAAATGGTTGTCTTTTGGAAAATCATCATAAGTGTCTTATTACTCTATACTATTGGTAAGTGTTATAGTTTGTTATCTTTTTCTTTTTTTTCTCAGAGTAGGTGTGAGACAAGTAGATATCCTTGAGTATATGTCGACAACATACACATAAAAATTAAAATAGTGCCTATTTTTTTATGAAGTTTCAAAAGACATTCTTTTTGTTAATTTGAAATTAACAAGGATAAAAAAAACGAATGATTTTATTATCTTTGAATAAATCTACTTTCGTCGAAAGAAGATGAAGCAAAGGTTAGACAAGGATCAACAAGAAATCTATATACAATCGTATGTATGTATGCATGACAACATATTGACAATGACCTTTTCCATGAGAGAATATAACTATAAACGAATATTATTTCAAGTGTATTGACATTAATAAATCAATGCATCATTGATATATAATAAATAATTTTCAAAAAAAAAACTGATCTCTATTTTAAGCAATCGATGGAAATCGTGCTCGTCGACGCCGTCGACAAACTTTATTAAATCCACCTTCTAATCCTCATAATCAAATGCCATTGCAACAAAATCCTCAAGGCCAACCTTCTCAACAACAAGGTGGTCAAAATGAAATTATATCAGGAAAACAAGGTGGTCGACAATATTATCCATATCAAGGTCAAACTGGTTATGGTTATGGTAGTGTCCAAGGTTTGAACTATCCATATGCTGGTGCAGGTGTTGGCTCATATAATTATGGATATGGACAATGTAAGATAATAATAGTAAATATAAATTATTTATTCTAAAATTTTATTTAGATGGACAACAAGGACAAGGATTAGGAGGACAATATGGTGCTTATTATAATCAATATCCAGGTTCAAGTAGTTTCTATGGAGGTTATAATAGTGCTGGTTATAATAGTGGTGGTTATAATAGTTATAATCGTCCTGGCTATTCAAATTATTATCCATCCTCAGGAAGTAATATGTATGGTGGATACTTTTGGAATGCCGGACAAAAGCACAATGTCAATATGTTTACTGTATTTCTTTCTTCAATACTCACATGTATTATTTGTTTAATTACTGTTTGAGCTTCATATAAGACTAATGACAAATAATATTACTCTCCACTAGAATGCTCATATGTGCTTTTTTTTAATGTAAATACCTCCATTAATATCTATACGTTTGCGTGTGTCCGTTTTCTTCTTTTATATTTTCACATATATTACAAAAAGGTTGTTTTTTTGACAAGCACCATATACTAAAGTTTTTTCTTGTTTGGTTGTACTTATTTTATAAACTGCTATATTTAGTTTAGACACGTTTCTTTTTTTTATCTTCTTTTTGATGTGTATCTTTGTCAATATGTTTCTAATAATAAGATCGAGAACTTCTTTAACATAACAGTAATACATTTTAATTCAGCGATTTTTGTTAAGAAAAGATATCTCAGAATTTATAGATAATAGAATAATTTTCTTTATTGCTGCTTTACATGTAATAAAATCTTGATTATCTTTGTTTTATAAAATGTAAAAGATTTTTCAAGTAAGCATTATTATAAACTGAATTATTTCTTGAATAAATATGTGCTTTTTATAATAACTATTGTTTCGTTGTAAATGATGCAGAAATTTATTTAAAACAATCTAATCTGAATAATTTAACTTGGTAATATTTTAATAAATGATTTACTTTTTTTTTGTGATAAAAATATGACATAGATTTCGATAAAAAAAGAATCAATATTTATTGAGTTAATCTTAGTTGCATGTGCTTCGCCTGATAGTTTAATCAGGATTAAGTATGATTATCATCACAAGATGAAAATATTATTCTTATATACTTCATTCAAGAAAGCTAAATTTATCTGCATACACAATTCATTTCTTTGCTAGTATATCAGTCAAAGACGATCTATGATATTCCTCCTACGATCACAAATGAGTTCATGACGTTTATTTTCGTCATTTAAATACACATTAGTTGACTATTTTATAGTTTCTATTGAAATAGAAGCAAAAGAAAAGAATTTGCGATATGTACTTTTCGGACAAAAACGAGAAAAAGCACAATCTCATTAATAAAGCATAAACTCGATAGGTTTTTAATATTGTGAAATGCAATTATTCTGTCAAGATTAGTTATATTCTAATATTTATTTAATTAATATAATATATTACAACAAAAAATAATCTGACATTTAAGTATTGATATCTGCTAAGCATTGTTCAATTTCTCTAAATAAATAAAGCTTAATAGTAAATATATGAATTTAATCCTTACTAAAATTGAATTAATAATTCATTTCGTTTTTGTTTTAACACATTCAATATATCATCTGAATTATAATCTTCTATTTCATTTTCTTCATGACTATCATTAGGTATAGTAGATGTTACTTGTGTTAATGTACTTTTATCTGAAGAATAAACTGTTGGTTGTTCAGTGAGTAATGATGATGATGATTCGATTTGAACTAATGGACGATAGCAAACAGATGCATATTGGTCATTATCTCGTGTTGGATAAAGATTGATATCATCAGAAAGATTTGACGCAGTTGAAACTAATAGAGATGTTTGAATACTAGCATTCTATGAATAAAATTCTATTTGCTTGTAATGTCTGTGTAGATGCTTCGGATACAAGAATTGGAGATGACGCTATTACCTGTGTTTCAATAGGTAAATGTATTGGTTCATTATATTGTACTTGTTCAAATCGACGTCGTAAACGCCATTGATGCAAAATATCATTATCACACTGTTCAGTTTTATATTCAACTTTTAATAAAAAAAAAGAAATATACATTCAATTTTTTAACAACTCTATATGTTTTACTAGTTCGATTGAACATTGGTTGACCTGATTGTTCATGTGCAGTAGTTTTTATCATAACAGGGTTAGTGTATGTATCTGACATTTCGACTATATTAGATGAAGGAGTAGTAAATGCTTGATTAAGAAGTAATGATGCTCGTTTATTTAATACTTCATCAATATCATTTTTATACTCTTCATTTTCCTTGTATAGAATGATTATTATTTTGAAGTATTTTTCTTAGACAATGTAACATACCGTCGACGAGTTACCTGCATATTAAATTTAAATGAAACTCTAATTAATTAATTACTTAATCAAAAAAGATCATTATCACATGATTCATTATCGTTGTACATTTTCTTAAAGTTGTCAAGCAACTATCATCTATATATTTCGTTTTTCCTATTATAAATAAATCATAAAAATAAGAATATTAAGTTTATTTTATCTATGCATTACTTTTTTATCTAATGTTCAATAAAATTAATGTAAGATGTCGCCAATTCTTAGTCATCGTGATTGGTGATCGATTTTGAGCTACTCTTATAAGCTTTGCGTCCCATTCGTTCCTTTTATATTTTATGACATATCATCCTGTCAATGCAAAAAATGTAACTATTTATAGACGTTTTCATAATAAACTATTCAAGCATATTGCATTTAAACATTTACCTGTTCTTTCTATCTTTTCTACCGTTTATCAACGATCATACTTGTATTATAATGACAGCAAATAAATCGCATACAATTGTTGAAAGTGTTATAGAAAAAGTTGATTGCATTTATGAACGTTTACGCGATCAAGTAATTCGTATGGGAACATCGACAGGATCAGAATCTCATATATTTTTTGTTTTTGGTGCATCTGTACGTTAGATTTACTTGAAAATAGTATATAATCGTAATATATTTTATATTTATCTTAGGGTGATTTAGCTAAGAAAAAGATTTATCCAACACTCTGGTTTGTAGAAAAAAAACAAACGAAAATAAAAAAAAATTGAATCTTTAATTTTATGGTTTAGGTGGTTGTATCGTGATGGATTTATACCAGAAGGTACACATTTTATTGGCTATGCACGTAGTCAAATAACAACAGAAAAAATATTTGAAAATGCTGCAAAATATATGAAAGTAAAAAAAAATCTATATCCATTGATAAATATATATACATATATATACTAGGTAAAAGATAATGAACATGATCTATATGAAAAATTTGTGAAACTTAATTCGTATGTTGCTGGTTCATATGATAAAGATGAAGATTTTAAACATTTAACAAATGAAGCTAATCAAATATCGAATCAAGAGAGTGCACATCGATTATTTTATTTAGCATTACCGCCGAGTGTTTACGGAAGTGTATCTGAGTTGATTAGTAAACATTGTCGACCAAAATCGTATGATAATATTTTTAGAAATTTTTTATGATGTATGAAATATTTTGTTTTGTCTAGACCTGGTTGGATGCGTTTAATTGTTGAGAAACCATTTGGAAAAGATCTTGAAAGCTCAAATAAATTATCTGAACATTTAAATAAATTCTATACGGAAGAAGAAATCTATCGTATTGATCATTATTTAGGAAAAGAAATGGTACAAAATATAATTGTACTTCGATTTTCTAATCAAATTCTATCACGAGTTTGGAATCGAGATTCAATTGCAGCTGTTAATATTATTTTTAAAGAAGATATTGGTACACAAGGAAGAGGCGGATATTTTGATGAATTTGGAATTATTCGGTATGAAGAAAATATTTTAATAATCATATATAAATACCCAAAGGATTGCATATCAATAATAATAGAATGTGACCTAATGTTTTTTTCTGACATTATGAGGGAAAAGAAATAATTAAAGTTAAGGAAATAATAAATATATTCTCTTTCTCGTAGAGAAGAGTCCAGTGAACATAAATTGTTTGTTTGTTTGTTTGTCTGTCCGCACGATCAAAAAAACATCGAAAATAATTTTTTCGAAATAGACATTTCTAGAGGTATTCCGATGCAGGGAGTTCGAATCTGAGGTCTATTGGGTGACCATGATGAGGTGGGTGGACGAGGATCAGTAAAAAGTCATAAAAACATCGAAAACTAATTTTTCACGGTTTTCATTTGTTCTTCCAGTAAATGTGAAGGAAATGCATTTCAACGAGAAAGAGCTAAGCGAGTCCTCGGATGAGCGTTACTTGTTTATTTATTTTTAAGAGATGTTATACAAAATCACCTAATGCAAATTTTATCTATTGTTGCAATGGAAAAACCACGTTCAACGAAAGGTGAAGATATTCGTGATGAAAAAGTGAAAGTATTACGTTGTATAGCTCCAATAAAACCAGAAGATGTTGTTATTGGACAATATACTGGTGATAAAAATTCAAAAGACCCAGAACGTCAACAAGGATATTTAGATGATAAAGGTGTACCAAAAGATTCAACTACACCAACGTTCGCACAAGTCGTGATTTTTATTAATAATGAACGTTGGGCTGGTGTACCATTTATTCTTCGAGCAGGTATTTTGTTTTTCTTCTTCTATTGATAATACGAATAAATTAATCTGTCTGTCTTTTATTAAGGTAAAGCATTAAATGAGAAGAAAGCTGAAATACGTATACAATTTCGTAGTACACCTGGTGGAATGTTTGATGATGATAATCATGGAAGTGATCCAAATGGTAAATTAGCTCGTGATGAACTTGTTATACGTGTTCAACCAAATGAAGCTATTTATCTTAAATTAAATACAAAACGACCTGGTGAAATGGGTTTTAGTATAGAAGAAACTGAATTAGATTTAACGTATGGTAATCGTTATAAAGGTGTTAAATTACCTGATGCATATGAACGTTTAATACTTGATGTATTTATGGGTTCAAAAATAAATTTTGTACGTTCAGATGAATTAGAACAAGCATGGCGTATTGTTGATCCGATACTTGAAGAAATTGATAAGAAAAAAATTCCAGTTATTCCATATACATTTGGTAGTAATGGATTAAATGAAGCATTTGATGCTGCTAGAAAACATGGTTATATTTTTCGTGGTACTTATGTTTGGAAAGATGAACGATCTTCATCAGAAACAAATAAAGAAGTAACAAAAGTTGAAGATAAAAAATAAATTTAGTCATTGCTGATAGAACAAAATATTTCTCATATGACTTGGATCTGCTTTTTTTTTGTATTGTCCGTTACATAATACGCATTTTATTTTTTTTTAATATTTCTATTAGCTTTTTGTCATTTCTCAAATAAACTCATCTAATATTTAATATTATTTTTCAATTATGATGTTAATAATAGTACGATATATATTGCTCTTCTTCAATTTATAACAAATAGACACATGAATTAAACGGAAGATTTAATAAAAAAAACTTGCGACTATGGATATTAATTTTTTATTTCAGATACTTGGTATAATTTATTTGAATAAAAATAATGATTAATAAGGATAAACTTCCAAAAGTAGCTAATGTTGATCGTGAAACAGAATATGGTTATGTCTTTGGTGTTTCAGGTCCAGGTATAAATTAATCTTGATCTATTAAGAAATCAATTTATTTTTCTAGTTGTTATTGCTAATTGTATGTCTGGTTCAGCAATTAATGAATTAGTAAGATTGTGTAAAACAAAAATCGATTTTTATGGTAAACTATTTATTTTTATAGGTTCGAGTCGGTCATGAAGAATTAGTTGGAGAAATTATTCGTTTAGAAAATGATTTAGCAACTATTCAAGTTTATGAAGAAACATGTACGGAAGATAAAGAAATAAAATTTTTAAAATATATATGAATATTTATTTAGCTGGTGTTAGTGTTGGTGATCCAGTTTTACGAACAGGTAAACCATTATCTGTTGAACTTGGCCCGGGAATTATGTCAAGTATATTCGATGGTAAGTTTTGTTTCTTTATATGTAACTAAAATTTTGTTTTATTCTAGGTATTCAACGACCACTTCAAGTCATTTATGATCGTACTAAGAGTATTTATATTCCGCGTGGCATCAATGTACCTGCATTGAATCGTTCAATATCATGGAATTTTACTCCAGAGAAACGTCTTCGAGTATGTATATTTTATTTTAATAACAGAAAAAGAATTACTTTTGTGTATATATTAGGTTGGTAGTCATATAACAGGTGGTGATATATTTGGTGTTGTACCAGAGAATCAAATGATTAAGCATCATATAATGCTTCATCCAAAAGCAAAAGGTACAATAACATACATAGCACCCGAAGGAAATTATACACTCGATGTTTGTTAAATGAATTTTTTGATTTTTCTTATAATATGAATTCGGTAAATAGGATGTTATCCTCGAAACAGAATTTTGTGGAGAAAAAACAAAACATACAATGTTACAAGTATGGCCTGTACGAATAATGCGTCCAGTAGCTGAAACACTTGCTCCTAATTATCCATTATTGACTGGTCAACGTATATTAGATTCGTTATTTCCGTATGTTATTATGGTTTTTCATTATATAGAACTAATTGAAATATTTAGATGTGTACAAGGTGGTACAACAGCTGTACCAGGTGGATTTGGTTGTGGCAAAACTGTTATTTCTCAAGCACTTTCGAAATTTTCTAATAGTGATGCTATTGTTTACGTTGGTTGTGGTGAACGTGGAAATGAAATGGCTGAAGTATTACGTGATTTTCCTAAAGTAAAACAATTGAATTACTGATTTATTTGTTAATGAAAAAACATTATTTCTTTTTAAGTTGAAAATGGAAGTTGATGGTAAAGAAGTATCAATTATGGAACGAACAACATTAGTTGCGAACACATCCAATATGCCTGTTGCCGCTCGTGAAGCTTCCATTTATACAGGTTAATCTTTATAATAAATATTAAACGATATAATTAATGCACGTAATATATTTGAGATGAGATGATGAAAACAAAGTATATAGATAATCAGAGTCCGTCAGGTTCGATATATTCTAGTTTTCTTTAGACCTGAATTAAAACTATATGATTGCCGTTTTCAATAAAATGTTTTTGTATTCGAATCTAAGAATCATTATGAAAGTAAAAGGTAGTATTTATATCGATAATTGATTTACGCTGCATATATTTCAAGTGAACTTATAATAATTTGCTTTTGCTGCATGACATTCAAAAAACTATCACTTTTGCTCTACTTTCACTTATCAGTACTCATATATTATAGGTATTACTTTATCCGAATATTTCCGTGATATGGGATATAATGTTGCGATGATGGCTGATTCAACATCACGTTGGGCTGAAGCTTTACGTGAAATATCTGGTCGTTTAGCTGAAATGCCTGCTGGTTAGTTTATTTTTTATTTTCAATTAAAACAAAATCTTATTATATATATTTTGTTTGTTCATAGACTCAGGTTATCCAGCTTATCTAAGTTCTCGTCTAGCTTCATTTTATGAACGTGCTGGTCGTGTTCGATGTTTGGGTAATCCAGAACGTGAAGGTTCTATAAGCATTGTTGGAGCGTAAATATATCTTAATTATTAGAAATGAATAGTTTAATAATTTATCTTTTTTTTGCAAGTGTTTCTCCACCAGGCGGTGATTTTACTGATCCAGTTACATCAGCAACAGTAAATATTGTTCAAGTCTTTTGGGGTTTAGATAAAAAATTAGCACAACGTAAACATTTTCCATCGGTTAATTGGCTTCTATCATATAGTAGATATACAGGCGCACTTGAAGATTATTATGATAAAAATTATCCTGACATTACACCATTACGTGCTAAAGTAACAACTTTTTTATTAATAAAAGATAAGGAATGATTTAATTTAGTGTCGAGAAATTCTACAAGAAGAAGAAGATCTTTTCGACATCGTACAACTTGTTGGTAAAGCTTCATTGGCTGAAACAGATAAAATTATATTGGAAATAGCTCGAATAATAAAAGAAGATTTTCTACAACAAAATGGTTGTTCAACTTATGATCAGTACGAAAATTCTATTTCTTTTTATTCATTATTATACATATGTATGCATATCTAGATATTGTCCATTTTATAAGTGTGTTGCAATGCTTCGTAATATAATTACTTTCTATGATTTGGCACGACATGTTGTTGAGAAAACATCACAATCAGAAAAGAAAATAACATGGAATGATATCCGAACTAATCTATCAAACATTCTATATGAATTAAGTAGTATGAAATTTATGGTAAAATTCTTTGATTATTTTTATTATTTGTAAAAACAAATGAAATATTTAGGATTCAACAAAAGTTAGCGAAGGAACAATAAAACGTGATTTAGACGAACTTAATGAACGTATACAAGCAGCATTTCGTGATATGATTGATGATTAAATTTTTTTATTTAATTGTGATAATAATTTTATATTTTCATACAAATTGTGATAATGGTTTTATATTTTATTTTTATTTAATCGTGAGAATGATTTTATATTTTTATTAAATAATATTTTGCAATTCCGATCTGAAAATTAAACATTAACAAAAAGCTCATTACGAAAATATCAAATTCTTCCAAAAAAACGATTATTTTATGCATAGCATATAGTTATTCATACTAAAATAACATTAATTTATGAATAAAAACATATTTATGACAACTATGAATCACTTGATATTTCGTTTTTCTTATTGATTGATTCGAAACTTAATTCTTCCTGTTTCTATTTGACTAACGTTATTAAAATTTGTTTCTAACTCTCGTCATGGTTAAATAATAAAAGATTACAAAAGGAAACTTTAGATGATATATATGTGTACCGAAATTGAAAAAAAATGACACGCACAAATACAAAGAAAAAGAAAAAAATGTCGGATAGAAATATAAAATATTCTTTTTCGTTCGCGCGACGTGCGCATTTTCAAAACGCATCATAAATAATACAGTGTAGTATGCTATCAGTTTAATCATATAATATTTAGACTCATCATTATATCGACTATTGTTAAATATATAGAATCATTGAATATTTATGGCTAAGGTAAACAAATCCCAATGATTCTTTCATCTATTGTTTCAAATTTTCTATCTAGATATTTCTATACACTCTCTTACTGATTTGTACACTCAATCAAGCTTCATCAGAATATCCTGATGGTAACGAAGGTTAGATAACAATAAAAAAATATGTTTGTTTTACAATTAATATGTATATTAGAAATTATGATTGCCTCTAATCGTCTTCATAGAGGAACGGATCAACTTAAACGTCGTGTTAATCCATTAGTTAATGTTATGAAATCTTCATCATATAATCAATTTAAACGAAATCAACAACCAGTATTATACGAACAACAAGAAGCTGAACCAGATACATTCTATGTTCAAATGAACATTGATTCAGATGTAGATGTAGATGAAGATGAACCATTAGAAACTAAATATGTTGATGTAATTATAGATACAAAACGAAATGTAAATACATATTCATATAATAGAAACGGATAAAATTTATTTTCGAATAGAAATTATAAACATTAATGATTAATTATATGGTATATATATTCAATTGAATGAATTTTATTATATTTCTTAAAAAACTTGATTTGTTTACTTCTTTTTTTTCTTAAATAAATTCAATGAAAGTTAATAGATTTCGAATGTATTGTATATAGAGAAAAAGCTTTCAGCTTTAATTCTAGTCGAAAAAAAGTAAATTGACACCAATAAGATAACTTAACAAATCAAGGTCAAATATTGATTCGTTTTCTATGTCTGCACAAATCAATGCTTTGAAGGACATGGAAATTTTTCGAATTTAATCTCTTTTCTCTGTCTTTTTCTTATTTTTTATTTTATAACTAGAGTTTCAATCATGTTGATTCTGTTTTGCTAAATGTATCTATTGTTTAACCTTTGAAAATATAATCAGTTTTCATTACATGTAATAACAATAGTATAATTACTGTTGTATTATTAATATTGCCGAGTTATGAAATAAAATCAATAGACATTCTAAACAATTGGCCGGACTTAGGACTATATTTAAATAGAATTGTGTAAGGTAAGATGACAAGAAGTGTATTTCTATTAAATTAAATAACACTCAAATCTACGTCTGACCTAATGTGTAACCTGAATTCCAATAAAATCTAGATTTCTAATTACATAATCAAAACTATTACAAGCTATTAATTCTTCAACTTCTTTTTGTTGCAAATAACAATCTGTTTAATAAGTTTTAGCATGTGTCGGAGCTTTAATATCCATATCTAAGTTTGAGACTTATTTAATCGACTAAGACAGTATTGGCTATTTAGATCGTTGTTTATTGATATAATTTTTCTTACTAATGTGTAGTATTTTCTGGTAAGAACAATCGAGATATCATGGTGAATACATCGTTTAGACTGCATCTTTTGCTTACTACCAGACCTCTATGAGGTATGAAAAACTTCAAAAGGATTTATTCTCTCGCACCTTTATTTTCAAGATATGATTATTTTACTGGAGCTTCGATTGAGCGTACAATATTTCGCAAAACGGAATCTCTCGCGAAGGAAAGATTCGTTCTGACTGAAGATCTAGTAAAACAATCATATCTCGAAAATAACAGCACGAGAAAATAAATCCATATGAGATTTTTTTATACCTCATTGAGGTCTATTGGTGGCTAAAAGATACAGTCTAAAAGGTATTGAAACTATATATAAATGCCAAGAGAAAGAAAAGAAAATTCATCAAAATTACTAATAAAAAATGCTATGTTAGTAAAATAATATTATTATATTATCATTATAACAATTAAAAACTTTTTTTTATTAATATTTAACCTTTACTGATTTGTTTAATACTATTTTAGATTTGAACTTTCTATTTAGTTAATGATGGTATCTAAAAAATTATTTGTAGGTATTTTTTTATAAAGATCCATATTAATGTTATAGTTAATCATAAACAACAACATAGATTTTTCTTTGTCTACATCCGCTAGTCGTTATTATCTTTATAATAATTAGATTCTGTATAATATGTTAATATTACAATTTAGTTTTAATCTTCTAACGTTGATAAATAATGATTATGAATCGTTATCATTATTTGACAAATTCGTTTAATATTTTATTTCTATATATGTCGACGTCGGAAAGAAATCGTTAATAACCATTGTAAATTATATCCAATCACGTTGAAGATTTTGATTACTATATCGTATGGCAACATATCTTCTAAACACTCAAAAACAAATTAAAAATTAAACAAGAAAAAAAAACAACTGTCTATTATCCTTGTCAAAATTAAGACGGTGTATATGATAAGTATTTTTATATAATCTTTTTTTCTATTATTTCATAATTATCACATCACCTATTCGTTCATGTATGAAAAAACAAAATGATGACAAGTTTTTTTCTTCTCCAGAGTACTACAAATTCCATTTCCGTTACTTTTTACGTGCCGATTTCCGTTACAATCATGTATCTATAACAATGGGCGGCGAAATAAATAGCTAAGTATCTATGTGACTTATAGGCATACAATAATGAATTCAATGTAATCAAGCATACATAGTTCAAGTATCACTGGTATTCAATAACACATCAAGAGAATGAATAAGAGCATACACAGTAGTAATATTCAAAGTATTCTATATTGAATCACGCTAATAAACTTGACAAGTTCAATACATGTATATACTAAATTGTTATCATTTAAATTAGTGTATAGTTAGGAAAAAACGTATTGAATTTATTATGAGTACATTATAAGAAGAAAAAAAGAGATTGTATATATATTTTCATTGTGTTGTTTTGCACTATATTGTGTCAAAATAAACTCGTCGATGATCAATAGAAAAATAGATTCAGTTAAATTGAAACAAAAACGAATTTAATCATTCATTATTATTGTACAGAAATTTCATTTTATTCACAAAGAGTATATTTGCCTCTTAGCAAGTTTTCTTTTTCTATGTCAATCACTTAAATCTTAAAAGTACTCTTCTATAGTTCGATTGTCGGTATGAATTGATGAAGAGGAGAAGAAGAAGAAGAAGAAGAAAATCTTTACCAATTTTTTTTTATTTTCGCTTTCCTTGACAATAATTCAACGATTAAAAAAAATCAAAAATTTCATTTGTATTCATAATTCAATATATATAAATAACTGATGATGACGCCCATAAAAAGTCAGAGCTTTTTTTTCTCTAGCTACCACTTACACACTATTTATAAGTTTTTTTTTTGCTTTTTTCAACATGAATCAATTCATTGATACTGTCATTATGTGTCTACTCTCTTGAACAAATCAATTGACAAATGAAAGAAGCGAGAGAACAGTTAGTTTCTACCTGCAAGCGTTATGAATGGTTGATACTCTTCGTCATTTATATTTTCTCTTTCTCTTTCTCTCTCTCTCTCTCTCTCTCGCTCTCTCTCAACAATGATTGGACACTAATGGAAAATGATCGGATCATGTATTCGTTTAAATAAATTCATAAAATGAAAATTTTCATTGTTTGTCTAACGCAGACATATATATAAAAGATGATGAATAATGGTTTATGTGGACAAACGACGCATTTATTACCACTGTTAACAAAAATGAAAAGAAATATTTCAAATAATAATGAAGATAATTTAACATCCATATCTTTTGTTGGTACAAGATCATTAGTATCATCTCGTAAAATACTTAAATTTGGTGTTGATACAATTCTTGGCAATGTTAATACACATTTAGATAATAATTCTTCATTTGAAATAGGTAATGATTCAAATGATGAATTAAGACATAAAGGTAAAAATTGTTTATAATTATTAAATCAGAAGAAATGTATTTATATATAGTTGACATTCATGTTACATCACCTATTTCAACAAATTCATCTGTTTCTTCAAGTGAACCTTCTCTTGTTCAATCTCCTGTAATCAAACAACAATTTTCAATGTGTTCAAATAGTAATTCACTTCATCCATCATCTCAAGAAATTAATAATGATCATATTTTACAACAGATGATTGCAGCCAGTCGATCTCATCATTCTTCATTACCACCTCATCCTTTATGGCGTCCAAATCTTCGACCTTTTATTGGTAAGTACTGATAAATATATACAAAACAGGTTGTCTATATCAATTATCTATTATATATGACATGAGCCAATTAAAATCAAAACAAAAATATTATGATCTTTTAGAGATTATCGACAAAGGACATCCAAAAGACGATGATTCATTATGAGTTTTGATTGGTGTTAGCGTCTGTGTGATTCACACGATGCTAATCTAGAGATTAAGTTAGTCCTTCTAGTCTAATTGGTTTAGGATAACTGCCCGGATAGCATGAGGTGTGGGTTCGAATCCCACGAAGATCACTTTTTCTCCACTTTCTCTTTCTTTCATTTTCCTTCCGCTGATATATACAGTTTTTCTGATATTGATTCGCTTTATCTGCTCTCTCTGTATACTATTAACAAAAACCATATCGCACAAAGTATTATTTTCTTATGTATTCATTCCCTATTGGTTAATTCGCCTTCATTTTCCTCGTGTCCTCTGTATATTTTATGAAACGATCTATATGAACATATAATAGGAATTCATGTCATGCAATAATATCCCTCTAATTATATATGTTATTGATAATTAAAGAATTAGTATAGTGTTTTTCAAACGATAATTTCTTTTGAATAGAGAAAGATAAATAAAAGCAATATTTAACTGGATATTCTTGATGGATGGCATCTTTCTTTCGCTTCGCTTGTTTTGATTTCTTCACTCTAGGCTTATTTCTATTGTCTACATATTATTTTTTATTCTTTTTATTCAATTAATGTATTCTATCTATTATCAAAACAAAAGAGAATGTGTATTTGTTGATTCTTTGTCTTTATTGTATAGGTCATTATTTTGAAAATAATGGTTCACCTTCAATTTTAAATGGTTTAATGCCAGGAAATGGACTTTATTTTCCATCATCAGCATCATTTTGGCCAATAGATCTTCGAGGTAAAACACAACCGCGAATGTTAAGACGTGCAGTTTTTACTGATCAACAACGTAAAGGTCTTGAAGTTGCTTTTTTAAAACAAAAATATATTAGTAAACCTGAAAGAAAAAAATTAGCACAACGTCTTAATTTAAAAGATTCACAGGTAAAATATTTAAATTGTTAATCATTTTAATTCTTTATTTTCTTTTATAAAAATTGTCAAGGTGAAAATTTGGTAAGAAAAATTGAATTTTCGAAGAATTTGTTTTTTTTTAAATAATATTTTAGGTTTCAAAATCGTCGTATGAAATGGCGAAATACAAAAGAACGTGAATTACTAATGTCAACAAAATCAATTAATAATAACAATGAATTATCAAATGATTGTCAACAAAAAGACGAATTTCTTGGTTCATATTGTTCTAATTTAATTGATGATGATAATAACGAAACAAATAATTCTGATATTGAAGAAAATAATCAATTAAATGAAGAATAAAATTGTATTGTATTTTAATTAAGATGTTTTCTGTTTTTTGTTTCAATTTAGACATTTTTCCTTTTATTAATTCTCAACAATAAAGAGAATATATATATGTACATGTACAAATATTTCAGTTGATCAAAATAAATAAATTAAAACTTAATAGATAAGTGAATGAATTTTCATAGATTGATCCTATTAATACTTAAAATCTTGTTATTCTTTTCAACATCAGTCACTTCAGTCAAGTATACTTTTCTGTATTTGTTTGTTTATATATGAATCCTTAATGTATATATACAATCGTGTTTGCATTAACCTTCGTTTTGTATTAAGTAGATCATTTTGTTTTTATTTTATTTAGTTTTTGTTGCTAATAGAAAATTGATTTTATTAGTGAATACATCGTTGATATTATTTTAAAATTATGATCATCTTCTTTAATTATTACTAAAATAATTGTATTAGGTGAATGTTTCACTTTTATTTTCTTATTCTATCAAATGACGAAATAAGAGAATCCTTTGAAATATTTTGATTGATACTGCCATCTGTATCCAAAGTAGGCTAAGAAAAAATAAACTACCAACAAACATGAAGATTTAGATGTACAACTAAGACGAGATTATCCATAATAATACATGTTAAACTTAGCGATTTCATAGTTCTTGAATTGATTGCTTAGCAACTTTGATATAATAATCAAATAAGAAGTCTTATAAAAATTGAATAATATTATTTTATTTTTCTTAAGTATCATTATATCAAATAAATCACAAATAATACAAAGGTTTGAATTGTATTTCATTGTGTGAGTGGATGCATGTTTGTGTTTTATATTTTGCATGAAAATCTTTTCATAATCATTCAATAAAGTAAGAACTTCTTCTTTGGATCTTTCTGATTGTAATCAAAGACTTTATTGTTGATGTATCGAGAGCTTATAGTCGTTCTCCCCAGTATTTCTCAGAATGGAAGTGATATAAATAAAAAAAAACTAAATATATACACAGATAAGTCATGGCAATCTTTCTAAATCACTGAAATATGATGGTTCTCGCTTTCCGATACGGCGCGGAGCGCTAAAAGCAGGAGGGGAGTAATCACAAAATCGGAGAAAGAAAAAACAATTTTCTCAGTTTGAGTTTTTCTGAATTTTAGAAAAAACTTCTTAAATTTTCCGTCTTAACTACCCAAAAACCAAAACTGATGAGCAAAAAAAAAGGTCTTTAGTTTAGTTTGTAGAGGATTCTGTAGACCTACGAACCAGTTTTGAAATCCAAAATGGGAAAATAGGAGAAACTAAATCGGCCCAAGCGGTAACAAGTCAACTCAAAAATCGGAGAAAATTCAGTCTTTTTTCCAAAAGCAGGAGGGGGGTACCTCCGCTCGCGCCGCGCTTGTTCATCACTCAACTTAATTTGACTTATGCACCTTACTGTATACAAAATATAGACATTTTAAGTTTACAAAATGTTCGCCTAAATATACTTTTTCTTTTTTTCTTTTTTTAATTAAAAAATATTATTCTGCCTTTTCTTTAGCAGTAATTCATATGGCTTCATTACAGAATAATGAGTTAAACAATCATCTTCAATCTGATGATGATGATGCAAATGTAATTCATATCATAGATATAACGAATGGTACATTTCCTGAACATATATCTGGTCGTATTGAAAGTAATGATACAATTGAATTCAAAGTTAATTCAGATGATGAATATGATATATTTCAAGTTTATAAAGATAATACTGATTACTATCGAATAGATAATGGAATAGAATTATTTAATATAAATAATAATACATCGGAAAAGAAAAGACGTATTGAACTTTCATTTAGTTTTCATTGTTCAACAATGGAATTATATTTTTGTATAATTCCATCATTACAACATGAAACATATTTAAAATCACGTCAATGTTCAAAAGAAAATTGTGAAAAAAATTATCTTTTAATTCATAGAAATGAAATGAAATTTTCTTTCAATGATAATAAAGAAAGTCAAAAAATTATTTTACATAAAAATGATACAATTGAACTTGAATGGATATCAAAACGTTGTAATGGTTATCGTATAGAAGAAAATAGATATTGCCCAATATCTGGTGGCCTTTATAAAATCGAACAAACATCAGATATAATAACAAATCGTGCTGTAACACAAGGAAAATTTCAAAGAACATTTAATGAATATGGTACATCATTTTTATTTCGTTTAACTGAAACAAATCAAATTCATGATATCATGGTATGTATTATAAAAGATAAATATCAAATAAAACATATTGAAATAACTGATATAAATATTCAACCAAATATTATTTCAATTGAACAAAATGACTCAATTATATTTGAATGGAATACAAAAGAAAAACAAACTCTTATTCAAATTGATCCTTATCTGATCGATGAAAATACACAACAATCAATCGAAGTTTGTATTTCAAATGAATAAATAAATTACAACTATCTAATTCTTTTTCTTTTTCTAAGTTGAAAACAATCGGAGAACATTTCTTTTGGCCATATGATCCATCCTATCGTGGTTATATGATTCATAAATTTAATCAAACAGGTATTTTTTGTTTTAAAACAGCAAATAACCAAATTGGAACGATTATTGTTGAACCAAAGAAAAATATTTATTCTTTTCCAATTTTTGGTGATCAATTAAGTATGTTTAAATGAAAACAACTTACCAAAATATGATTATCTTTTTTTATTTAGTTTTAAAAATGAATACAAATGATTTAGTTCAATTTGAATGGAAGATGACTGATTCACAAGAAGAACCAGTATTAATCACGGTTGATGCTAATACATCCATCGTACCGGATGTAGCGGGTGGTCTTACAGGAATATTTGATTGTTGTAAGTTAGTTGTATATCAAAGAATAAAACAAACGTATCGATAGATACAAGGGAGAAAGAGCGGAAGCCATTCGTTTGGATTCCAATGATTCCCATGGATTCTTTTGAATTCTCACAAAGTCTGATAAATATTTTTCGATTTTGTCTTATTTCATGGTTGTTTTAGATCTATCAGCCTGCATTGAATATTCTAGAACGTGATATAAATTTTAAACAAACTGCCTAAGTTATCAAAACTAGGGGTACACATAGTTTAGTTCTAGTTCACAACGGTTCAGTATTTTAGACGACTCAGCTATACGAAAAGAACTATTTTCAGAGCTCGGTTCACGGCATCTGAACTGTTTTAATAAGTTCAATTCGTTCAAGTGAATTGTGCGTACCCCTAGTCTTTCGAGATTCTATCAAATTATTCCACAATGGTCGATTTTTTAGAGCAATATCTCGTAAATTTCTAGAAACTTCAAAGATTTTAATGAATATCGAGGACTTTCATGTCTCATTTACGATTTCTGGATTTCCTAAACGTCCGAAGGATTCCATAAATATTTTTGGATTCCAAGATTCCGCTCTTTCCCCCTTGGAAAAAATACAATATCATATTTATGAATTGACTATAAAATATTTGAGTATCATTGTGATAGCACTAGACATATATTTCAATATAACTGTAACCGAGCATGTGCACATATATAGAAGATTCAGAATACACTACTTGATTAGACAGAAAATGATTACAGTATATATATCTTTTTAGCTATGCATAAATGTGTCAAAGTTGAACCATTTTTTCGTTCTTATTTCCATACATGCGAAACATTTCTTCTTCATATTCCACAACATGGTCTTTATAGTTTTGCATATTGTGATAATCGTGATGATGTTGTATTAAGTGTTATTGTTGAAAATAGTATTAATGTAAGAATATAAATTTTTACTTTGTTTGTTTATTATTATAGTAATCTATATAGAATCATCATATCACATATAGTGAACAAAATATGTTTGAACCAAATACAATAATTGTTAATCGTAATGATCAAGTTTGGTTTGATTCGATATCAGCAAATATTTATCGAGCAGATGAATATGGAAATCATTTAGACGTAGATAAACCAATTTTTCAACCACAATTAAATAGTATGAATTATTTTATGCAACAATTTAAACAAATTGGAATTTATTATTTTTCAACGGATATTAAGAATGATAATTATACAACAAAAATTTCATCATCATCATCACCATTAGCGATTATTGTTTTACCTGAAATTCATTTCCATTATAAATTCATTCGTCTTGGTGATTTTGATTTTCAAGCAATAATAACTAATATAAATGATTTTGTTATATGGCAATTTGAACAAATTATTCGTTTCGGTGTTATACAATTACGTTCAAATGAAACTTTACAAGATTTAGCATCATGTCATGATCGAGCTGTATCAGGTCGTAATCGACAATGTCTTGCTGTTGAATGTATTATGCCTGGAGTATTTTATTTCGCTAATCCAGGTAAAAAATGAAATGAAGAATTTATTAATAAAAAATATTTTGTTTTTTAGAATTTGAACGAGTTACTGGTTCAGAACAGGTAAAGTGAAAATGAATATAATCATTAAAATTAATTTTATCTGAAAAGGATCGTCTAATATCAACAATTATTATTGATCCACCATTTAGTAAAGCATGTTTTTTTATTACACATCAACAATTTGTTCCTAATGTTTTCCATATTGCTCAGGTAGACTTTCTTCTTTAAAAAAAAGTTGTTTTTTTCTAAATAAATTTTAGAATGAAAGTATTTCATGGGTATTATTAAATAACGATCAATATCATCGAATTTATGTTGAATCAAATGAAAATGAGAAACCAAACTTAAACGAAGTAACTTATTTTCTTATAAATTAAAAATTTAAATTAAATTTTATTCATATATATAAGAATAATCGTATTGATCGATCAATTGAACAATATGTGCCTGATATACATTATTTATATACATTTAATCAATGTGGACAATATACTATTCGATCTGATCGTTTCAATAATACAGCAACTGTTATTGTTTATTCAGATGATATCATTCGAAATGATAGTAAATATTAGTTTTTCTGTTCTATAATACTTTTTTATCTTTTATCTATAGAAAAACGAACACAACAACCTCAAATAATCGAAGAAATTGATACACTTAGTCAATTTAAAACACGAGTACATTTAAAATATCCAAATCAAGATGCGATAATATATTATACACTTGATGGAACGCTTCCAACAAGACATCATGATAATGTTCATGTAAAAATAAATGTATATTATTCAATTAAATATTAATCATTCTAATTTAGATTTATAATACTAATGAAGATATATGTTTTGATCAACCAGGTTTTCATATTTTACGTGCCTATGCAACTGAAAATGAAAAGATATCAAGCAGTGTTATTACAAGCAGGTTTGTTTTAAAGAATATTTTCAAGAAAGATATATTAATAAATGATAGAATACTTTTGAAATTCCAGTATTTATTATAACGATATTGAATTAGGAAAATTGATGTTGCCTTTTGAACATAGAGTTTATTTTGACTATTATTTTAGTCCAACTTTTGTTATGGAAAATGATGAACTAGAAATAGTGAATGTATGTTTATTTCTATTAGAAAAAAATTCGATTTTTATGTGTATCTCATAGGAATCTCTGTCAGCATGGAGTAGTACAAAAATAAATCTTTCAGCTTCCATACAATATCCAAACAAATTATATGGAAAAATTCAAGTGGAACCAACAAGTTCAGCAGATCTTGTTGATCATTTTGAATTATATGTAGATGATATAGCACAAAGTGTCAATCTATCACCAACTGATATTATATTTTCAGCCGAAGGTTTTGCTGGTGGTGAACAATATGAAATCTATATTTTAGCTTATCCAAAATCAAATATTATTAATGCTATACCAATACCATCGAATAAACGGGTATTTTGTGATATTAAAAAAAATCATTATAGAAAATGTGGGTTTTATTCTATTTATTTAATAGGCATTTGAAATTAAACGAGAAATTCATGGTGCACCATTAATTAGTTTAGCTGTATCGAATGAACAAACGACAATCTTTTTAATGTGGGCTCATATTGGAGATCATGTTAGTGAATATATTGTTTATGTTGATGATATTGAAAGGACAACGGTATCGTATATTCAGATTTGCCTGAGTAAAATTTTTTTATGTTAATTCAATTTGATAGATTTTTGAAAAAGATTTTAATGATTTTTTTGGTATTCAGTTTCATGGTGCTCAACAACGAAAAAGATACCTTTTACATGTTGAAGCAAAACTAAAAAGTGAGATAAAATTCATTCTTAATTAATTATTGCAATTATGTTCTATTTAATATTTTAGATAGTAATGATATTCGAAAATCAAATATCCTTAATGTTAATCCACCATTAGAAATGCCATTAAAAGAACAATTAATTGATCGATATTTTGCATATATAACAGTTAATGCTGAAATTCCACCACCTGATATGCGATTAGAGAGTAAGATTAGAATTTCATATAATATATATTATAAACATTATATCAATTCATGATTTTTATTTTAGTTATTCATCTTGATCATTTTCCACATCCTCGTCCAGAACCACAACGTAAAATTGAAACTCTTTCTATTGTAAGCAGTTAGATTTTTAGGAGAAAAAGAAAATATTTGATCTTTCTCTCAGACTCCTAGTCTTCAGGATGCCATTCCAACAATATCATTTCAGCAAAATTCTAATGGTATTACACTGTTTTGGAGCAAATCAACACAGAGAATCTCAGATATTGTTCATAATTATCGAGTAAGTGAATTATTTCTGAATACATATTCTATTTCTAATAGTTTTGATTAGATTATTGTTGACGGAGAACAATACGGGGAATCAATCTCACCATCTGATGAGCCAAACTTTCAATTAAATCTCTCACCAGGCAAACATGAGTGCTATTTATCTGTTATACCGAAAGATGACGAACAGGAAATTTGGAAATCGAATATTCTTGTATGTTATAATTGATAGAATCATAATGTCTTTACTGATTTATAATTTTTCGTAAATAGCAATTTGATATTCCATCTATTGATGATCAAGAATTAGAACAAAAGCCATTACAAGATCCATCCAATGTTGATGATCACGTATATAATTATTTCTTTTTTTTTAGAAGCAAAAATTCTATCATTTTCTTATTCTAGGGAGTTTCTGATGAAAAAGATGATCTGACAACATTAAATGTTCCCTTGTCTCAACCGATACTTAAAGTAACACAAATCGGGATACAAATGGTAGTTGATTTTTTCAATAAAAAGAATTATCTATATAAAATATATTTTAGGTAAATTTATCATGGACATTGAATGATTCTGTTGATCCTTCATGGATTAGAGCCTATCGCATTATTGTAAATACAAAATCGACTATAACCCTTCCACCTGATCAACATGAATACAAATTAGAAAACCTTGAGCCAGGTATTGAATACCTTAAATCATAGCTTTATTTATGAAATAATCGATTTTAGATACCACAAATGAAGTTCAAATCTCTGTGACATCTCGCGCAGATTTTGCTGATGAAAAAATCTCTGAACCAGTACATATTATATGTCCACCACGACCACAATCACCAACAATCCAATCAATTGATTCTACTCAACCATGTTCCATTGGAATAAAATGGAAAATAAATAAAAATAATTCAGATAGAATAACATCTTTTAAAATTTTTCTCGATGGAAAACTTCATGATGAAATCGATACTGATGGACAGCATTCATTTAAATATGAATATACTCAATTACAAATTAATCAAACATATTCAATTTTTATTAAAGCATGTATAAAACAAAACATCTTTGATGGTTCCATCTATCAATGTGATATTGAATCAAATGCATCGAATGAATTAATATTAGAATGTACTACTCCATCAAAAGTTGCACCTCTACGAATCGAACGAATGCATCCAGATGGAATTGATATTGTTTGGGATACACCTACAGAAGATCAGGATATGAATATAATTGTAAGTTGTATGATTTGTGTTTTAAAGATTTTTTTTAAGACTGACAATGTTTATAAGGGATATCAGGTATTGAAAAATGGACGACCCATTGGTAAACCAATACCAGTTGATCAACGACGAGCTTCTATTCATGATCTCGTAGTTGGTAATCGATATTCATTACAAGTAGTACCAATAAGACAACATTCTGATAGCTTCTTAGAATATAATCCTGAAAATCATGATTCCTATTTATTAGGACCAAAACTTGACATCGAATTTACAGATTTAATACAGATTCCATCAAAACTTTGGATTGAAAATATTTCTGGTCATTCAGCAGTAGTTTGTTGGTCTCAAGTCGATGATTTATCAAATGAAAATACAATGCCAGATAGTTACAAATTACATATTTGGAATAGTAGAGAACAAACACGTCATCAAACTACCGTTATTTCAATATCAAGTATGTTTGTTTTGATGTCATTTAATATAGGGTGTATGAAATAATTGAGTAAATTTATTTTTTCAGAAGATAAAACTAGCCAACAATTAAAAGATCTTCAATCCAGTACAATTTACGAAGTTCAATTAGAAGCGTATAAAAGACGACATCATCAAATAACAAATGGTATTGTATTACTATTATTAATTTTTAGTAAAAAAATTTCTATTTCTTTTAGAATCATATATTGTCTCAACTATATCTGATATTTTAACATTTGAAACAGGTGCACCACCAAATGCACCATCAAACTTGCATATCATTTCTTGTACCAATACAGCTGTTCGTTTAGGTTTTGATCCATTTGTTGAACATAGTGCAGAAATAATAGCACTTCGTGTTCATTGTGAATCGCTTCATTCAGGAAAGAATTCAAGAGATATTATTTTTGATTTAACACCTGATTCAACAGAATTTCTTTTATCAAATTTGATTGAACGTACAGAATATAATGTCACTATTTATGCAATAACTGATGAATATTTAAATGAAATTGATTGTCATGATATTTCACAGTTACCGAAAAAATTAAAATTATCCAATTGGTTAATAAGTCAAAGTTTACAATTTACAACAAGTGGTTGTGAGCCAGCAAGTCAACTACATATTTGTAGTGCAACTTTTGAATCAATACAACTTGAATGGATATTACCGAAAGCTTATGGTTCAACAAAATATCTTAGTCAAATACTTCGATGGAAATTAGAACGTGGTAGTGAAGAACATAGTATGGAACTTGATTGTAATAGTACAAATGCAATAATACCTGGAATACTACAACAAGGTTTATATAGAATCTCACTTGATTCATTATTTAGTATGAAAAGGAATCTTGAAGATGATGAAATAAATCGAAAAGAAATTTGTTTAACAATAAGTGAAATAACGTTGGTACGTTATCGTATACCAGATTTATCTGAACGACCAGAAATTTGTTTAACTGGTTATACAACATCAACAATTGATTTAACATGGAATAAACCAAATATGTTTAATATTATTGATCATCCAGAAAGATTAAATGAACAAATTAAAATTCATCGAAAATTACTTGGATATAGAGTTGAAATTAATGGACGAAAATATAATACTCTAGACGAAAATCAATATCAATGTACATTGACTGAATGTCATGCTGGTGAAGAATATAAAGTACGATTAGTTGCACAAACTAGTGTTCAAAATGAATATCTAAATGATATGGTAAAGAAACTAAAGATAGATTATTTAAAATTCCTATATTTCTTTTGAATAGTTTTTACATGATGATGAGCCTAATGAAACACCCTCAAAAAAATTACGTGTTCGAATGTTAACAGATCAAGGTATAGGAAAATAAATATATTTTTCTTTTGAAAATGATTACTTGCTGTGTATGATATAGATCTCCTTCGTTCCTTTCAAGCTAATTTTGAATTTCATCATCATGTAACAAAAGAAAATATCATTAAACAAAGAAATGAAATAAAACCATTAGGAAAAATAAATATACATTGGATAGTATCAAATGTCGAAAATATTTCATATTTTATTCTACAATGGCATTCATCAAAAGATTCATATATTCAACAAAAATTATTCAAAAGTAATGAAACATCATTTACGATAGGTTAGTATTACAATCATATATATTTTATAAAAAAAACTTGATTTTTATAGATGTCTGTGATGAAAAAGAATTTTATATTATTGAAATAATTATTGTTACAAACGATGATATAAAATATCAATATGAACAATTAAAAATGCCAATACCAGGTGAACCAGATGCACCAAAATTATGGTTACTTAAAACATCTGATTCAAATTTTGTTGTTGAATGGTCAGAACCAAAATCTTATGGCATACCTATTATTGGCTTTCAATTATATATTGAAGGTAAAAAAGCAGGTGATATGGTTGAAGTTAATTTACGTCGAGCTGAAATTCCTTCGGAGATTAATCGAGCATATGAAATCAATATATGTGCTTTAACAAATAATCCTCAACGTACGCGATCAGTTATGTCACAAACATTAGCAGTTATTACAACACCAGCAATGCAGATCAATGATAATATAACTCCTGCAATATCTATTCAAATTGAATCAATTAATGAAGAAAAACTTCATGTTAATTGGAAAACATTTGTACCGATGACAGAAATACGTTGTTATTATATTCATTATACTTGTTTGAATACGGGTGAAATACAAACTATGAAAGTATCGAAACGATATCGACATGCAGTAAGAATAATAAGAAAAAAAAGATGAAAATACTAATTTTTTAATTTTTAATTTTGTTTCTAAAGACGATACGTAATTTAAACTCGGGTTTTACGTATGAAATCATGGTTTTGGCTGTTGATAAAAATGGTAGAATATTATATTCATCAGATAAAAGTACTATTCATATGAATGTGTCACCTAATGCTCCAATTGTTGCAATTCGGTAATATGAATTTGTTTTTTGAGAAAATTATTTTATGTTTTATTTAGTGAACGTACAAATGATCATGTAACACTTGAATGGCGTCCAGCACCAAATTGTGATGAACTTACTATTGTTAGCTATAAAATATATGTTAATAATCGTCTAACAGCTATTCTTTCTAATGATCAATTATCATATACTTTGACAAATGGTTCAGCGTGTGAAGAATATACAGTTTATATTCAAGCAATAAGTGATGATAAAAATATCCCGAGTCCAATGTCTCGTGGTGTCAAATTTCTTTGGCCAGGTATTAAACCAGGTATATTTCGACGTTTAGATGATGGACAAACAGGGATTGTTGTTGTTGCTTGGGAACAACCTCGTTTAGAAGATGAAACAGACAAATTGATTGGATTTAAAGTATGAAAATTTAAAGGAAATTATGAAGAAATTTTCTTCTTTTGATAGCTTTTTTCAGAAAATATGTCAACACATGTTGTTCGTTCGCATGGTGAATATAATGCCGAAACATACCGAGCAGTAATCTATAATTTAAGTAATGCAAAATATCTTCTTTGGTTAGAAATTCAAAGTGAACTTTATTCTGTTCGTGCTCGACCAATTACAATTACATCTGGTCGATTTCGAAGTCGCTCATCATTTGCACCAGCAAAATGTTTTTTGAAAAAACAAAAACGGTAATTTATATCTTCATTTTTCTAATGTATTTCTCCTTTTTTTTTGTATGATAGATTTCGACAAATTCAATACTCATGAACTTATCATTTTCTTATCATTATTTGTGCGTGTAATAATCTTTCGATTATGATTTGTTTATTGAATAAATGGCAGTAAAAAAATAGAAGAATGTTTATGATAAATGATGTACTTTTATCAACACATAAAAAAGTTTGTTTTATCAAACATTTTGCTAAGGATTGTTTTGACAAACTTAGGTGTCCATCGAGAAAAAGTTTCCTTGGTGATTATATCTTTTCTACCATCATAAATCAATGACCCTAAACAAATTATACATAAAATTCTATATTCAATAATAGTTTTCGAAATGCGCGACATACCTGTCATCTTTTCGTAATACAAATCGTAATTAAAAGAATAATTGTAAGGATTATAAGTTTGCTGTTGGTATGATGCCATATGATGTAGTTATTTATTTATTCACAAGTATACGTTGGCAAATTTTGTATTGAATAGCGCAGAAAAAATGAAACTTTATTAATCATGTTTTTTTCGTATGTTATCATGTTGATATGCTTGACTGCAATTCTATAATATTGTGAAATAACATTCTATTTAAAAATGTAGGTATGAATGAGTAATCAATATAGTCATCAACGCATATAAGTTTGGTGTGGGTGCGGATAGATACAAAAAATGTACACATTCAGCCACATTCTAGTTCTTTTTTATCATCGTAGAGATTTCTCCAAGAAAAAATTAAATTTTAAATTTTACTAAGTTTGTAATTCTCAAGTGGCATATATGACAAAAATATGCAAATACTGAGTTTTTTAAAATATTGATTAATACATCTGTAAATATGATGATAGTTGTAGACGAACACAGGAAGAATGACGACGGAAAAAAGAACAACACAATAATTTTAGAGTACGTAAGATACAAGACATTTTATTTTAATGTGTGAGCTGCAGAAAAAATTCTCTTGATGGTTTCTTTCTTTTCTTCTTTTATCTGCGTAGATTAAAACCGACTTGTTATGTAACTAAAGAAGAACGCAAATATACTACACATACAAAGCACAAGAGAATTTTTTTATCTATTCCGCGAAAGAAAAAGGAATAGACACTATAAAATGCGACACAAAGGAAGTAAGTTCTTTACTTTTTCTAAGACGACTATACACATTTAATCATTCTTAATTCTTTTAAGATGCATCGTTTTACCGATATTGAATCAACTTCAAAACAACTACTACCTATCTACAGCTACTTGACTCATGAACTGGTGTCTCTAACAAAAGCACTTGAACCGATCTCCACGACAATTGATCAACTGGATCGTTTTAGTAAAATTGCGAAAAACGAATGTCATTTTCCTTCCAAACATGGACTTACTCGTGATGAGTCAGCTGCTATTTATCTTTATACAATGGATTTGGGAGAGAATAGCTTCTATCAAGTGATTAATCGTGCACTGCGTGCCGAAGATCGATCGTTATTAAAACCATGGTTTGCTTATCTTAAACTACTCGATGTAGCCATACAAAAGTTACCAACTGTTCGAAAGAATCTATGGCGTGGTGTTCCGATAGATATAACGACAAACTTTAAGAAAGGAGACGAATTTACTTGGTGGGCTATGAATTCATGTTCAACTTCTGATAATATTATCAAGAATCTTCTTGGACCCAATTCAACATTATTTTTAATTGAGGCAAAAAATGGAAAAGATATTTCGAGCTATGCCAATTGTCCAAATGAAAATGAAGTCATTCTTTGTTCAGGTACACGATTTCGTGTTGTTAGTTATCCTCTAGAACAACCACTGATGCATTTGATTCATTTGCAAGAAATTACTGATGACGAAGAAGAATCATTATCAATAGCTTTTAAAACTATGACAACGACACTCACACCAACCACTGCATCTACTCATACACCGACGAATGTTCAAATTTCACTGATACTTATTCATACTGATCGATGGGGTAACAGATACGAAGGAGAAATGAAAGACGGAAAAAAACATGGTAAAGGTCATATGGATTTTGCAAATGGTGATAAATATACAGGTGATTATATCGAAGACAACATAACAGGACAAGGTGTCTACAATTACGCTAATGGTGCTCGATACGAGGGACAATGGAAAGATAATAAGAAGCATGGAAAAGGTCAAATGGATTTTGACAGTAGCATAAAATATATAGGTGATTGGATCGAAGACAATAGAGTAGGTCAAGGTGTCTACCTTTGTCCTAATGGTGATCGATACGAGTTAAGATATTCATAAATCATTCATCCATCTGTTGCAAATAGCTGAATATTACAACAATATCGATACTATGCGATAAATGAATAATTACAGGGACAATTCAAAGACAACAAGGAGCATGGAAAGGGTCAAGCGGATTTTTTAAATGGTGATAAATACACAGGTGATTGGATCAATAGCGACAGAACAGGTCAAGGTCTCTACATTTTTGCTAATGGTGATCGATACGAGGGCCAATGGAAAGATAACAAAAGGCATGGAAAAGGTAATATGGATTTTGCTAGTGGCACGAAATACACAGGCGATTATATCGACAACAAGAGAGCAGGTCAAGGTGTCTGCATTTATGCTAATGGTGATCGGTACGAG